AGGTTGAGGCAGCTACTTTTTGTGCGGTCACACGAGTGACTGCATTGGCAGAACTTGAACAATAAGGAAATGATTTCAAGTAGAAAGTTAGCCGACTGCCGTAATGAAAGTCAAAAAGGCCTGATTTGATGATTCTTAGCTAGAAAAGTAAAGTAGTGGGAACTGAGAATGAAACATTAGATTTTACATTTTGTTGACTTGAATGCAGTAAATGTTAAAAGTGATTTCCAAATAATGTCATCAGGACATGACTTTTTTTTTTTTTTTGAGACGGAGTTTCGCTCTTGTTACCCAGGCTGGAGTGCAAGGCCATGATCTCTACTCACCGCAACCTCTGCCTCCTGGATTCAGGCAATTCTGCCTCAGCCTCCTGAGTAGCTGGGATTACAGGCACGCGCCACCATGCCCAGCTAAATTTTTTTTGTATTTTTAGTAGAGACAGGGTTTCACCATGTTGACCAGGATGGTCTCGATCTCTTGACCTCGTGATCCACCCGCCTCGGCCTCCCAAAGTGCTGGGATTACAGGCTTGAGCCACAGCGCCCAGCCAGGACATGACTTTTGATGATTGCTTCTCAGGAGGCAGACCCTGCTTCCCTAGTGTCCCACAAAGATTTGGGCTATGTGTGGGCCAATCCTCCCTCTCCTCTCCACCTTTGTCCCCAGGTACTCTGTTGACATCCCCTTGGACAAAACTGTCGTCAATAAGGATGTCTTCAGAGATCCTGCCCTTAAACGCAAAGCCCGACGAGAGGCCAAGGTCAAGTTTGAGGAGAGGTAAGTAGGCTTTGGCAGTGAATGGTTGAGTATGGTTTCACTATTTCCATTCCTCTCCTCATTCATGTCCTTTTTTTCCCTTCTAGATACAAGACAGGCAAGAACAAGTGGTTCTTCCAGAAGCTGCGGTTTTAGATGCTTTGTTTTGGTCATTAAAAAAGAAAAAGAAAAAAAGCCTGTGTCTGCCTGCTGTGTGTATTACCAGACTTGAAAAAGGAGAACATTACTGAATAAGAGACACTGGGTGATGGATGAGGGGCTGGGAAAATACAAAAGTTAAATCTGCATTAATGAGATTTATACTGCCTTTGTCCTTAGCCAGAGAAATCCCTGTGAAGAATTGTGTATCGTGCCTGGCTTCTACCCATTGCACGCCAGGAGAACCTCTGCCACATTCTGCCCCTCCTTGTGACAGCCAAAAGCCCCTGAGTGGTGGCGACTGGGTATTTTTGATTGAGAACCACTAACCCTGAATTCTCAAGCCTTAGCACAGATAGAGATCACCTGGACAGTTTGTTAAACCACAGATGCCGAAATCCTGCCCTCAGACTGATCCAGTAGGTCTGAGTGTTTCTAGCAAGTTTTCAGGAGACTCTGGTACTAGTGCAGGTGAGATGGGGACCACAGATGCCAGTGGTGAAGACCTGAGCCTAGAGTAGCTGTTGAATAGGATAAAGGAGCACTCTTCAAATGGCCAGAGATTTGAAAGAAAGTGATCAAAGGGGCTTGGGCATGGGGTTGTGCCATTACTGTGTAGTACAGATGTTTGGCCTTTAGGATCTGGCATTTTACCTCAATGTATCAGTAGCCGTATGGATGAAATAGGTGCTCCATCTGAACTGGTTCTGTCACTAGGGGGGACTAAGATTCAAACAGGCCAGTTTGCCAAATCTGCTGGGTACCACACTTGCATTTGGGAACCGGGGTCAGGAGTGGCTGGAAGGGGCCAAAAGTAGAATTGGTGAGTAAAGAAAAAATCTTGGACTAGGTTATTAAGAAACTTTTTTTTTTTAAGACAGAGTCTTGCTCTGTTTTCCAGGTTGGAGTGCAGTGGTGTGATCTTGGCCAATTTTCTGCCTCAGCCTCCCCGGTAGCTGGGATTACAGGTGCTGTCACCACACCCAACTAATTTTTGCATTTTTAGTAGAGATGAGGTTTCACCATACTGGACAGGCTGGTTGTGAACTCGTGATCTCATGATCCACCCGATTCAGCTTCCCAAAGTGCTGGGATTACAGGTGTGAGCCACCAAGTCTGGCCAGGAAGCTTTTCTGAGATGGGAGCTTTTCTTTCGCCCACGCAGTCTGGAGTGAAGTGGCACAATCTGCTCACCTCCGCCCCAGGGTTCAAGTGACTTTCCTAACAGGCCTCCCAAGCAGCTGGGATTATAGGTGCCTGGCTAATTTGTATTTTTTATTTTTTTGAGACAGTCTTGCTCTGTCGCCAGGCTGGAGTGCAGTGGAGTGATCCTGGCTCTCTGCAACTTCCCGTTTGGTTTCAAGCAATTCTCCTGTTTCAGCCTCCCGAGTTAGCTGGGACTACAGGCACCCACCACTATGCCCGGCTAATTTTTTTTGTAGCAGAGACAAGGTTTCACCATGTTAGGATGGTCTCGATCTCTTGACCTTGTGATCTGCCTGCCTTGGCCTCCCAAAGTGCTGGGAGTACAGGCATGAGCCACCACGCCCAGCCTAATTTGTATCTTTACTACAGATGGGTTTTCACCATGTTGGTCAGGCTGATCTTGAACTCCTGACCTCAGGTAATATGCCCACCTTGGTCTCCCAAACTGCTAGGATTACAGGCGTGAGCCACCATGCCTGACTATTAGGACACTTGTTTTTTTGAGACGGAGTCTCGGTCTGTTGCCAGGCTGGAGCGAAGTGGTACAATCTTGGCTCACTGCAATCTTCACCTCCCAGGTTCAAGTGATTCCCCTGCCTCAGTCCCCTAAGCAACTGGGACTACAGGTGCATGTCACCACACCCAGCTAATTTTCTGTACATTAATAGAGACAGGGTTTCACCATGTTAGCCAGGATAGTCTCGATCTGACCTCGTGATCTGCCCGCCTCAACCTCCCAAAGTGCTGGGGATTACAGGCGTGAGCCACTGCATCCAGCTTTATTTTAATTGTTACTATTTTTTGAGATGGAGTCTTGCTCTGTCACCCAGGCTGGAGTGCAGTGGCACGATCTCGGCTCACTGCAACCTCTGCCTTCTGGGTTCAAGTGATTCTCCTGCCTCAGCCTCCTGAGTAGCTGGGATTACGAGTACACGCCACCAAACCTAGCTAATTTTATATTTTTAGTAGAGATGGAGTTTCATCATATTGGTCAGGATGGTCCCAAACTCCTGACCTCATGATCTACCCACCTCAGCCTCCTATAGTGCTGAGATTACAGTCATGAGCCACTGCGCCTGGCTTTTTAAATTTATTGCCCAGGCTGGAGTGCATTGGCGTGATCTCAGCTCACTGCAACCTCTGCCTCCTGTGTTCAAGCGATTCTTCTTCCTCAGCCTCCCAAGTAGCTGTGATTACAGGCGCCTGGCTTTTTTTTTTTTTTTTTTTTTTAGTAGAAATGGGGTTTCACCATCTTGGCCAGGCTGGTCTTGAACTCCTGACCTCATGATCCACCTTCCTTGGCCTCCCAAAGTGCTGGTATTACAGGTATGAGCCACCATGCCTGGCCTCATTAGGAAACTTTTTTTTTTTTTTGAGACAGTCTTGCTCCATAGCCAGGCACCAGGCTTGAGTGCAGTGGCACGATCTCGGCTCACTGCAACCTCTGCCTCCCTGATTCAAGCAATTCTCCTGCCTCAGCCTCCAGAGTAGCTAGGACTACAGGTGCGTGCCACCACACCCAGCTAATTTTTTTATTTTTTTATTCTTTTTTTTTTTTTTTTTGAGACAGAGTTTCGGTCTTGTTACCCAAGCTGGAGTGCAATGGTGAAATCTCGGCTAACCGCAACCTCCGCATCCTGGGTTTAAGCAATTCTCCTGCCTCAGCCTCCTGAGTAGCTGGAACTACAGGCGCACGCCACCATACCCAGCTAATTTTTGTATTTTTAGTAGAGACGGGGTTTCACCTTGTTGACCAGGATGGTCTCGATCTCTTGACCTTGTGATCCACCTGCCTCGGCCTCCTAAAGTGCTGGGATTATAGGCGTGAGCCACCGCACCTGGCCAATTTTTGTATTTTTAGTAAAGATGGGGTCTCACCTTGTTGGCCAGGATGGTCTCCATTTCTTTTTTTTTTTTTTTTTTTTTTTTTTTTTGAGAAGGAGTTTCGCTCTTATTACCCAGGCTGGAGTGCAACGGCACGATCTTGGTTCACCGCAACCTCTGCCTCCTGGGTTCATGCGATTCTCCTACCTCAGCCTCCCGAGTAGCTGGGACTACATGCTGCACCACCATGCCCAGCTAAATTTTGTATTTTTAGTAGAGATGGTTTCACCATGTTGACCAGGATGGTCTCAATCTCCTGACCTAGTGATCCACCCGCCTCGGCCTCCCAAAGTGCTGGGATTATAGGCGTGAGCCACCGCGCCTGACCCCCAGCATTGTTTTGAAGAGTTAATCTGTGTAAAACAGAAGGTTGTTGGGCACATAATAGCTCTCTGTGCTAGCCACTGTTACAGTTTTGTGAACTTGAACTATGGGCTTTATCTGACCTGATTGTGTTTCTCACTCATTCACCAATTATTATTATTATTATTTTGAAATAGAGTCTTGCACTGTCACCCAGACTGGAGTGCCATGGCGTGATCTTGGCTCACTGCAACCTTTGCCTCCCAGGTTTCAGCTATTCTCCTGCCTCAGCCTCCGGAGTAGCTGGGATTACAAGAATGCACCACCATGTCCGGATAATGTTTGTATTTTTTTAGTAGAGACCGGATTTCACCATGTTGCCCAGGCTGGTCTCTAACTCCTGACCTCAGGTGATCTGCCCGCCTGGGCCTCCCGAAGTGCTGGGATTACAGGTGTGAGCCACCGCTCCAGCTCATTCAGCAATTACTTTTACCAGTGTGGGATGTGCCCAGCATTAATCTAGGCTCTACAGAAATAATCTATTGACAAAGCAGGGTCTACCAATGTGCTTCTTGGAGATTGATTGCCTGGTAATGGCTGATTGGGACCAGTTTGCCGTTGCTGTAAGGTGGCTTCCCTTGAGGGATCACGGCTGAGTGAAGTCGACTTTGATGACTTCCCAGGGGCTCCTCCCAGGGGCGGGGAAACCTCGGCAGGGGGCGGCATCTGAGCACCAGAGGGCAGGGATTTCACCGAAATGAAAGTGGAAGCATACAGCCTGCGAGCAAAACCATTTCGGGTCCTGCTGGGCTGGGAGAGACCAAAGCCCTTCAGAAGGTACAAACAGGAGTTCAGCTGTGGTGGATTCTGCCGCTGTGCCCAGCTCTGAAGCCTCAGCTCTTGCCAAACAGACCGGAGACCCATGTCAGCCCCGCGGGATGGCGTAAGTGAGGAGAAGGGAGTTGGAAGGTGGGGAAACAAGAGCTAGGAACGCGCAGGTATCTCAGGGCCTGGCAGCCAAGCCTGTCCCTGCCCATCTGAGACCCGCTGAACAGCTGGGGAGAAACGCAAGGCCAAGATGACCTCCCCACTATGCATTTGATCCCCTAACCTATTGCCTCAGACAGCAGGAGCTCATTAAAAGCTGTGTCTGTGTGCACTTCTCTGGAGAGAGAATTGTAGTTTCCATCAGATACTCAAAGGGTTCTGTGACCCAAATAAGAATTGTTTTAGGGCCGGGCGTGGTGGCTCACGCCTGTAATCCAAGCACTTTGGAGGCCAAGGCGGGCGGATCACCTGAGGGTGGGAGTTCAAGACCAGCCTGACCAACATGGTGAAACCCCGTCTTTAAAAACAAAACAAAACAAAAATTTGTTTTAGGCAGGGCGTGGTGGCTCACACCTGTAATCCTAGCACTTTGGGATGCCTGGGCAACAGTGAAACCCTGTCTCTACTAAAATACAAAAAATTAGCTGGGTGTGGCAGCATGCTTCTGTAATTCTGGCTACTTGGGAGGCTGAGACAGGAGAATTGCTTGAACCTGGGAGGTGGAGGTTGCAGTAAGCCCAGATTGCACCACAGCACTCCAGCCTGGGTGACAGAATGAGACTCAAAAAAAAAAAAAGAATTGTTCTGGTAACTAACACACCCTTATCACCTCCTGAGGTCTCCCATCTACCAAAATTCTCCTCCTCCTGATAATTCCATCTCATCTTAACCTTGGGCCCTCTCCAGTTTCAGGAAGAAGAGGAGCTAAGCTTCCCTCTCCCCTGGTCCACCCTTTCCTGACATAAATGCCCCTTCCTGTGCTAAACTAAGCTCCAGGAGGACTGGTGCCCTGTCTACCCACTCATCACTCATCCCCAGTGCCCAGCACAGTGCCTGGCATGTAGACCCTGCGTGTTTCCTGGCATGTGGCAGGCATTCAGTAAACACTGTTGAATAAATGAATCTCATCCTCTCTCCACTTTCTTCAGCCTATCCCTCCCTGATACCATGCCATCTGTCAAACACACAGATCCCTCACCTGGAAATGTTTCATTTGCCCCTCAAGTATAATAAGATCCCAGAGCCAGGTGTGGTGGCTCACACCTGTAATCCCAGAACTTTGGGAGGCTGAGGTAGGCAGATTGCCTGAGATCAGGGGTTCAAGACCAGTCTGGGCAACAAGGCGAAACCCGGTCTCTACAAAAAATACATTAGCCAGGAGTGGTGGTGCGCACTTGTAGTCCCAGCTACTTAGGGGGCTGAGGCAGGAAAATAGCTTGTACCCAGGAGGTCGAGGCTGCAGTGAGCCATGTTCACACCACTGCACTCCAGCCTGGGTGACAGCAAGACACCCCCTCTGCTCCTGTCTCCAAGACAAAAAACAAATAAGGAGTCATCCTGCCTCTTTTCAAATCCTGCTTTAAAATTCCATTGTGTGGTCCAGGGAAATCATTAGCCTTTCTAAAGTTTACAGTCTAAGCTCCATTTCCTCTCACAAGAATACCTACCTGCAAGAATTAAACTAGAGGAATTAGGCTAGGTGAAGTGGCTCATGCCTGTAATCCCAGCCAGCACTTTGGGAGGCCAAGGTTGGTGGTTCACTTGAAGTCAGGAGTTGGAGACCAGCCTGGCCAACATGGGGAAACCCCATCTCTACTAAAAATACAAAAAATAGCCAGGTGTAATGGCATACACCTGTAATCCCAGCTACTCCGGAGGCTCAATCTCTTGAACCTGGGAGGCAGAGCTTGCAGTGAGCCAAAATCATGCCATTGCACTCCAGCCTGGGCAACAAGAGCAAAACTCTGTCTCAAAAAAAAAAAAAAAAAAAAAAGAAAAGAAATAACTAAAAATACAAAAACTTTGCTGGTCATGGTGGTGCATGCCTGTAATCCTAGCTACTCGGAAGGCTAAGGCAGGAGAATTGCCTGAACCCAGGAGGCAGGTTGCAGTGAGCCGAGATTGTGCCATTTCCCTCCAGCATGGGTAACAAGAAGAAAACTGTGGCTCAAAAAAGAGAAAATAAATAAATAAAAATACAAACAATTAGCTGGGCATGGTGGCAGGCACAACAGGAATAATCCCATCTACTCAGGAGGCTGAGGCAGGAGAATCGCTTGAACCCAGGAGGCAGAGGTTGCAGTTAACTGAGATCATGCCACTGCACTCCAGCCTGGGCAAGGAGAGCGAAACTCCGTCTCAAAAAAAAAAGGAATTATACTTCAACAGTCAAGCTAGATAATCCATAGATTAACACAGTAAATACTCATTGCACTGTTTAACACCTACTGAGCATTCAATATGTGTTTCTTATTGTTAATATTATTGCCAACCTTTTCAGAACTCCAATTCCCCAAAGACAATCTTTTTTTTTTTTTTTGAGACGGAGTCTTGCTCTGTTGCTCAGGCGGGAGGGCAGTGGCTTGATCTCAGCTCCCTGCAACCTTTGCCTCCCAGCTTCAAGCAATTCTCCTGCCTCAGCCTCCTGCGTAGCTGGGATTACAGGCGTGCGCCACCACACCCAGCTAATTTTTGTATTTTTAGTAGAGGTAGGGTTTCACCATGTTGGTCAGGCTGGTCTCCAACTCCTGACCTCGTGATGCACCCACCTCAGCCTCCTAAAATGCTGGGATTTCAGGCATAAACCACCAAGCCTGGCCCCCAAGGACAATCTTAATCTCCCCCCACACGTACCTCTCTGCTAAAACTGCTGTTTTTTTGTCGTGTTCTCATTCTTCCAGACTGGAGTACAGTGCAATCTTGAACTCCAGCGTTCAAGAGATCCTCCCAACTCAGCCTTCCAAATAGCTAAGACTATAGGCAGGCACCACCATGCCTGGCCAATTTTATTAAAATTTTCTTTGTAGAGATGGTGCTTCAATATGTTGCCCAGGCTGGTCTTAAACTCTTGACCTCAAGTGATCCACCTGCCTTGGCTTCCCAAAGTGCTGGGATTACATACATGGCCCTCTTAAATGGCCTTTGTATATTAAAAGGAAGGGAGAAATGAAGGAAAGAAGCTGTCCAGAAAATTGTATTTTTCTAAAAAAAATTGTGCAAAATAGCCAGGCACGGTGGATCATGCCAGTAATCCCAGCACTTCAGGAGGCTGGGGTGGGCAGATCATGAGGTCAGGAGTTAAAGACCAGTCTGGCCAACATAGTGAAATCCCATCTCTACCAAAAATACAAAAATTAGCCAAGAAATGGTGGCATGTGCTTGTAGTCTCAACTACTCAGGAGGCTGAGGCAGGAGAATCGCTTGAACCCCGGAGGTAGAGGTTGCGGTGGGCAGAGATCCTGCCACTGCACTCTAGCCTGGGCAACAGAGTGAGAATTCAACTTAGAAGAAAAAAAAAAAATGGGCGCAGTGGCTCATGCCTGTAATCCCAGCACTTTGGGAAGCCAAGGTGGGTGAATCACAAAATAAGGAGTTCGAGAAAAGCCTGGCCAATATGGTGAAACCCTGTCTCTAGTAAAAATACAAAAATTAGCCAGGTGTGGTGGCATGTGCCTATAATCCCAGCTACTTGGGAGGCTGAGGCAGCAGAATCACTTGAACCCAGGAGGCAGAGGTTTGCAGTGAGCCGAGATCGTGCTACTGCACTCCAGCCTAAGCAACAGAGCAAGACTCTGTCTCAAACCAAAAAGAAAAAGGAAAAGAAAAAGAAAAAGAAAAAAAGGCTGGGCACAGTAACTTATGCCTGTAATCCCAGCACTTTGAAAGGCTGAGCAAAGTGGATGGGAGGCTGAGGCAGGAGAATTGCTTGAACCCAGGAGGCAGTGAGCCGAGATCACTCACTGCCTGGCTAATTTTTGTATTTTTGTATTTTTACTAGAGACAGGGTTTCACCATATTGGCCAGGCTTTTCTCTTTGAAAGGCTGAGCAAAGTGGATGGGAGGCTGAGGCAGGAGAATTGCTTGAACCCAGGAGGCAGTGAGCCGAGATCGCACCACTGCACTCCAGCCTGGCAGCAGAGTGAGACCCTATCTCAAAAAAAAAAAAAGCCCAGGCATGGTGACAGGCACCTGTAATCCCAGCTACCTGGGAGGCTGAGGCAGGAGAATCTTGAATCCAGGAGGCGGAGGTTGCAGTGAATCAAGATCACGCTCACTCCACCCTGAGCAACAGGGGGGAGACTCCATCTTAGAAGAGGAAAAAAAAAAAGCTGGCATGATGGCACATGCCTGTTAGCTACTTGGGAGGCTGAGATAGATAAGAGGATCGATTGATTCTGGGAAGTTGAGGCTACGGTGAGTCATGATCAGGTAACTGTACTCCAGTCTGGGTGACATTGAGACTTTGTCTCAAAAAATGAAACAAAACAAAAACATGGGTAGATTTGCATGGGGCAGAACTTGGTTGGCTTTTTTTTTTTTTTTTGAGATGGAGTTTTGTTCTTGTTGCCCAGGCTGGAGTGCAGTGGCTCAGTCTCAGCTCACTGTAACCTCCGCCTCCCGAGTTCAAGTGATTCTCCTGCCTCAGCCTCTGGAGTAGCTGTGACTACAGGCACACGCCACGATGCCCGGCTAACTTTGTATTTTTTTTTTCTGTTTTTTTCTTTTCTTTCTTTTTTTTTTTTTTTTTTTTTTGAGACAGAGTTTCGCTCTTGTTACCCAGGCTGGAGTGCAATGGCGCAATCTCGGCTCACCACAACCTCCGCCTTCTGGGTTCAGGCAATTCTCCTGCCTCAGCCTTCCGAGTAGCTGGGATTACAGGCGTGCACCACCATGCCCAGCTAATTTTTTGTATTTTTAGTAGAGACGGGGTTTCACCATGTTGACCAGGATGGTCTCGATCTCTTGACCTCGTGATCCACCTGCCTCGGCCTCCCAAAGTGCTGGGATTACAGGCTTGAGCCACTGCACCCAACCTCTTTCTGTTTTTTTCAAGCAACAACATGTAAGTTTTTTTTTTGTAGATGTGGGGTTTCTTCACGTTAGTCAGGCTGGTCTCAAACTCCCGACCTCAGTTGATCAGCCTGCCTTGGCCTCCCAAAGTGCTGGGATTACAGGCCTGAGCCATCATACCCAGCCAGGAGAGATTTACTTTAGCAGGGACCTGGTCTCCCCAGGGCATCAGAGTCCCTACTACTCTCTGTCCTCCTACATGGCTCTATTAACTCATTGATGTCATCTAACTGACCCTTAAAGACACTGTGTTGGCACTCTCTGATTTATAGAAATATGAATAACTAAGGTCTTCATAAACCAGCATAATTTGGTCAAGCTCTAGTTTTCCTCTGCTAAAAATAGAACAAACTCACACTGAAATTCTTTGGTGCCCTCTGTAACGTGCTACTTTACTGTCATTCATTCACTTCATTTATTCATTTGACACACTTGTACTGGAGACATCTTTTGTGCCAGTGACCTTGCTGGACACTGGGAATACAGAGATGGTCATGACGAGTTCTGTCTTTTCAAGGACCTCATGCTTCTCTGAGCTGACCTTATTTATCAGGATTCCTAACCACAGGGTGAGCTCTGCTCCCTATCACAAACAAAGGTGCATTTATTGGTATCCCTAGTGTCACTTCTCTCTGGACCCACTCCAGATCACACCCAGCCTAAAGGGCTGCTTGGTGTAGAGTGGAAAGTGGGGTAGTCAAGGGACAAACTAGAAGATGAGTAAGCTACCTCCCAACCCTGGGCTTCATGTCTTTACCATAAAGCACAGGTCAGGAGGGTGGGCTCTGGAGTCAGATAGCCTAGGACCATATGACTTTGCGCAAGTCATTTAACCTCTCTGAGCTTTAATTTCCTCATCTATAAAATAAGGATTGGTCGTGTGGTGGCTTACATCTGTAATCCCAGCCCTTTAGGAGACCGAGGCAGGTGGATCATCTGAGGTCAGGAGTTCGAGACCAGCCTGGCCAACATGGTGAAAACCTGCTTCTACTAAAAATTCAAAAATTAGCCAGGAATGGTGGTAGGTGCCTGTAATCCCAACTACTCGGGAGACTGAGGCACGAGATTTGCTTGAACCCAGGAGGTGGTGGCTGCAGTGAGCCAAGATCATGCCACTGCTCTGCAGCCTGGGAGACAAAGCAAGACTCCATCTCAAAAAAAAAAAAAATAGGCCGGGCACAGTGGTTCACGCCTGTAATCCCAGCACTTTGGGAGGCCCAGGCAGGTGGATCACAAAGTCAAGAGTTCGAGACCAGCCTGCCCAACATGGTGAAACCCCATCCCTACTAAAAATACAAAACTTAGCTGGGTGTCGTGGTGCATGCCTGTAATCACAGCTACTCAGGAAGCTGAGGCAGGAGAATCACTTGAACCCAGGAGGCAGAGGTTCCAGTGAGCTGAGATCGCACCATTGTACTCCAGCCTGGGCTACCAAGTGAGACTCCATTTAAAAAAAAAAGATAGATAAATGAATAAAATAAGATAGATACCCTGTTATGAGAATTAAATGAAATAATTCATCAGAGGGTTTAGCACAGTGCCTGGCATATAGTTAGCAAATGTTAACAGTATTACTGTATGACATTTTGCAACTAGTCTCTGCTCCTCTTGGAGGTATCCCTAATTGGGTTAACCCCTTTGGATTGGCCCTCCTTCAAACTCTGGCTGCCCTTCACAATCAGGCATGTGATTGTCGACTACCTTGAGCACTGTTTGGCAGGCCTGAGGGCTAGGTACCCTTATCTTCCAATGCCCTGTCAGTGCCCAGCACTTCCTAGCAGGAGCTCAGTGTTTGTTGAACTCTAGATCTGTGATCAGGAACAAGTCATGGCTGCTGCAAAGGCTCCTGCCCTTTCAAGAGCAGCTGAGACGATGCCAGCTGAGCCCTGAGTGGAGGGGGCCAGGATCAGCCCAGGGCAGCATAAGGGGGTTGGGTTGTTCTGGAGCTTTGCATCAACTTTGCTTCTGGAGAGTCCAGGATAGGCCCCCATTCCCCTGGGCTTGTGGAGTCTCCTCTGGAAGGGTAGGTAGAAGTCTGGTTGTTTCCTTCTGTTCCAGCAGGCGCTCCATGCCCTTCTGGAAGAGCAGGCCAGACTCAAGATGAGACTGCAGGAGCTGCAGCAGCAGAGAAAGGAGCTCGGGGACTCCCCCAAAGACAAGGTAAGGCGGGAGACCTGGTGTTGTCTGGTAAAAAAGAGCTGGTGAGGCGGGGCATGATGGCTCACACCTGTAACCTGCAATCCCAGCACTTTGGTAGGCCTTGGTGGGCTGACCACTTGAGGTTAGGAGTTTGAGACCAGCCTGACCCACATGGTGAAACCCTGTCTTTACTAAAAATACAACAATTAGGCCGGGTGCAGTGACTCATGCCTATAATCCCAGCACTTTGGGAGGCCGAGGTGGGCAGATCACCTGAGGTTGGGAGTTTGAAACCCTGAGTTGTATTTTTTTTTTTTTTATTTATTTTTTTGAGACGGAGTTTCACTCTCATTACCCAGGCTGGAGTGCAATGGCATGATCTTGGCTCACCGCAACCTCCGCCTCCTGGGTTCAGGCAATTCTCCTGCCTCAGCCTCCCAAGTAGCTGGGACTACAGGCACGTGCCACCATGCCCAGATAATTTTTGTATTTTTAGTAGAGATGGAGTTTCACCACGTTGACCAAGATGGTCTCGATTTCTTGACCTCGTGATCCACCTGCCTCAGCCTCCCAAAGTGCTGAGATTATATGCGTGAGCCACCGCGCCCAGCCTGTATTTTTTTTTTTTTTTTTAGTGGAGACGGGGTTTCTCCATGTTGGTCAGACCGGTCTCGAACTTTCGACCTCAGGTGATCCGCCTGCCTTGGCCTCCCAAAGTGTTGGGATTATAGGCATGAGCCTCCCAGAACAAATTAAGATGTTGTATGTAAATTGCCTGGTATGGACCAGATCTGTCTTCATCCACTCCTTTTTTTTTTTTTTTTAAAGACAGTTTCGATCTTGTTGCCTAGGCCGGCTCACTGCAGCCTCTGCATCTCAGGTTCAAGTGAATCTCCTGCCTCAGCTCCAGGCTAGCGAGATGATAGGCGTGCACCACCACGCCTGGCTAATTTTGTGTTTTTAGTAGAGATGGAGTTTCATCATGTTGGTCTGGTTGGTCTTGAACTTCTGACCTCAGGTGATCCTCCTGCCTCGGCCTCCCAAAGTACTGGGATTAGAGGTGACCCACCCTGCCCAGGCCTCATCCACTCATTTATCCGGCTCTTCTTTCAGTAAATGTATTTATCCCCCGCACTCAGTATCAATGGAATGGAATTTGGGATGCCTTCCTCCCAGCTGGGAATGAGAAACGCTCCTACTCCCCTCCCCACTTCCAGGTCTTATTTTCAGTGCCGAGGATCCCCTTGGTATTCCGAGGACACACCCAACAGGACAGGGAAATGCCTAAGTCTTTAGTTTCCAATTTGAGGATCCACTGCCCTCTGCCTGCAGGTTCTGCTCTGGTCACCTTCGATGACCCCAAAGGTGAGCTCTTGGGGTGTCAGGAGAGAGGTGGGGAGGATTCCCAGTACTGAACCTGTTTCCTCACCACCCAGTGGCTGAGCAGGTGCTGCAACAAAAGGAGCACACGATCGACATGGAGGAGTGCCGGCTGCGGGTGCAGGTCCAGCCCTTGGAGCTGCCGATGGTCACCACCATCCAGGTGACAGAATGGCAGAATCCTGGGACATGCAAAGGGTGCCATGCACCGGGGGCTGGGGAAGTGGAGCTGTGTCTGGGACCACCCCTTGCTGTCTCCCGCTAGGTGTCCAGCCAGATGAGGAGCCAGAGGGTGTTGGTCAGTGGATTTCCTGCCAGCCTCAGTCTGAGTGAGGAGGAGCTGCTGGACAAGCTGGAGATCTTCTTTGGCAAGACTAAGAATGGGGGTGGCGATGTGGAGGTCCGGGAGCTGCTGCAAGGGAGTGTCATGCTGGGCTTTGCTAAGGAAGGAGGTGAGGGTCATGCAGACCTCCTGCAGGGGAGATGAGGGTTCAGGGAGCAGAGAGGGCTTGATGCTAAAGGTCCACCCCTCCTTGTTCCCCACAGTGGCCCAGCGCCTGTGCCAGATTGGCCAATTCAGAGTGCCACTGGGTGGGCAGGAGGTCCCTCTGAGAGTCTCTCCCTGCATGAATGGGGAGATCCAGAAGGCTGAGGTAAGTAGGAAGGTAGCGAACAGGGCTGGGTTGGGTAACCTGTCTGCCTGTCAGGAACTTGTCCCATGAAGGATCAGAGACCCCAAACCCCACTGACCTACCCACCACCAGCCTCTCCAGGCCTCCTGACCCCATATTCCCATGGGGCACTGCCTGCCCTGCCCCCTACCCTCTGCACCTTACTCCCATGAGCTTTTGCCATCTCTTGGCCACTTTTCCAGATCAGGTCACAGCCATTGTCCCGCTCTGTGCTGGTGCTCAACATTCCTGATGTCCTGGATGGCCCGGAGCTGCATGATGTCCTGGAGATCCACTTCCAGAAGCCCACTCGGGGGGGCGGGGAGGTAGAAGCCCTGACAGTCATACCCCAAGGACAGCAGGGCCTAGCAGTCTTTACTTCGGAGTCAGGCTAGGGTCTCCCTTCTCATCCTCCCTGCCCCCTCCCAAGGTTCTCATGCCGGGCTGGACTTGGGTGCCCATGTAGGAGGTCTTTATGTTCACCAACAGTGGGGTGGGATTCCACATTGCGAAACACTGCCGAGAACAGTAAAAAGAGCCAGCATGGCATGACGTTCTTCCTCATTTCACTCATGAAAGGAAACCTGCTTTGGGCATGGAAGGAGGCAGGGGGATGGGAAGAAGCCCAGATCTTCCGCCAGCAGCACTGGCCTTCCAGGAGCTCACCTTCCCCTCCACTCTCAGAGGCAAACAGCAGGAGCCAGGGCTTGGCTTTTTATTGACACAAACACAAAGGCAGCTGTGGTAATGGGGTGGGGTACACAAAAGCAGAAATCGCACTTCACACATTTAGTCCTCATTTAGACAATGAGGAAGCTGAGCCTGTCCCCCCACCTCCCACTGCAATGGTTGGGACGATAACCCTCCCTAATCCTAGCTCAGTGAGCAGAGGGAGTGACCTCCCTACCCAGGAAGTCCCCATCTTGGTCACAGTGGCCCAGGTCCTGACCATCCCCTCTGTACTCCCCTGCTCCATCTCCCCACCCATGTAAACAAAAGTTTTGGGTTGAGTTTGATAAGCTGCCTCTCTGCTTTGAGAAGGCAGTGGGGCCTCCCCTAACTGCAAGGGGAATGTGCTTGGATTTTTACTTTGGTCCCAGAACAAGAAACAGACAGCACTGCCTTTCAGACCTCTGGCTGGTAAATGCCACACATATCTGCAAGGCTGAGGAAGCTTCCCCGCCTTTCTCCTCAACCACCGCAAAAACAGGACATGGCACAGATGAGGGCACCTGTTTTTGCCCTGCTCCCCAGGAGGCTTGGGGCTGGCCCCACCCTCCATCCCCCAATGGCACACAGATTTTTGGCAGTTTTGGGACTGGAGAGGAGTGAAACCCCAGCTCCACCAGAACAAGGAAGGCACTGGGGAGAACAGGGCTGGAGGAGGTGGGAGACAGGGTCCTCCCTTTGTCCCACCACACACATACAAGCGCAGGTTTTCATTGCTAAGGCACTGAGAACAAATCCAGAGAACTCAGTGAAGGGCAGGGGCTTTGTATCCCTATGAGAGTTGTGACCTAGGGGAGTAGGTCGGATTCCCGCCCTGTTGTAAGAGGCAGCCTTGGTTAAGAATGGCAGAAAACCTGGAGATGGAAGAAGCCCAACTGTGCTTAAGAAGTTGGGAACAGAGGACAAGGTGGGGACTGGTCAAGCCCAGAGGTGGGTGTTGGTTGGCCCAGGCTGAAGGGACACTAGGGAGAGACAGGTACATGCTGGACTCACAGAGATTGGCCCCATATCCTGAGCTGACATTTCTATTCTTTGGGGAGGTGGCGGGGCAGGGTGGGAGCTAAGACGAGGGAGAGGTGGAAGCTCACAGAACACAACAATGGGGACAAAAGCAGCACAGCAGGCCTGGGGAAAGGGTGGGGGCAGGAAGCAGCCAGCCTCCCTCTGACCCTCCCTGTCCCCTTGGCAGGGCCCAGACATCCAAATGGTCACTTCCCAACCTCTTCAGAGGTCAGGAAGCAGGGAGGGGCAGGGGAGCGCGGTCATCACCACAGAGACCTTCGGGAGAGGGAGGGCAGAGCACTATGAGAGGCTGAAATGCAAGTCTGGTGGTCAGAATGCAGCTTCCCGACTTCTCCCTTCACTGGTCTTGAGGGTCTCACAGCCCCTCCTCCTAGTTCTCCTTCTCTGGCCCTGGAACCAGGAGGACCTTGCCCACATTCTTCTTCTCTTGCATCTGCTTCATGGCATCAGCCACCTGGGGAGGAATGAAAGCTGTGGCTCCCAGTGCTATCCAGCCCCCAGGCAACAGAGCCAGTGTGATGCAGGCAGCCCTCCTCTTCCCCAAGAATCAGCCCCTTGGAACCCCAGCCTTCATGAGCCCTACCCAAGCCCTCCCGGCAAAGTCCTCACAATTCACCTTCTCGAAGGGCCAGACTGAGTCAATTCGGGGCTTGATGTGGCCCTGGTTGTACAGAGCCAGGAGGCGGGCCACCACGCCACTGACCAGCTCCACTTCACCCTCCAGGTAGCCCAGGTGGAAGCCACACACAGCCCGGTTGGCCTGCAGCAGCTGCAGAGCTGTCACACTAAACTGATTCCACCATGTGCGGGCCAGGGCCATCAGGTTCCGTTTGGGGCCCGTCAGCAGGTTGGCCATTCCTGAGGGATAAGGTGACATGGCCTGTGAACCGAGGTGCCAGGCACATCCCTCTGTGCCTGACTCTATGCTCTGTGTTCCATCATCCCCTTGTGATTCTCTGTACCAGTGCCAGGAAGTAATAGGCTAATTCTCAAACTGCTGGTTACCAGGCCCAAACCAACCCTGGCTGACTTAAAATTGTTCTAGGGGCCAGGCACTGGACTCACACCTGTAATCCCAGCAGTTTGGGAGGCCGAGGCAAGAGAATCACTTGAGGTCAGGAGTTCAAAACTAGCCTGGCCAACATGGTGAAACCTTGTTTCTACTAAAAATTCTAAAATTAGCCGGGCATGGTGGCACGTGCCTGTAGTCCCAGCTACTCGGGAGGTTGAGGCAGAAGAACTGCTTGAACCCAGGAGGTAGAGGATGCAGTGAGCTGAGACTGTGCCATTGCACTCCAGCCTGGGTGACAGAGTGAGACTTGGTCTTAAAAAAAAAAAATTAGCCAGGTGGGGAGACAGGCGCCTGTAATCCCAGCTACTCAGGAGGCTGAGGCAGAATTGCTTGAACCAGGGAGGTGGATGTTGCAGTGAGCTGAGATCATGCCACTGTGCTCCAGGATGGGCCACAGACTGAAACCCTCTCTCTCTCTCAAAAAAAAAAAAAGCTCTAATCTTTTTGTATTTGTTTGTTTGAGTCAGGGTCTCATTCTGTTGCCTGGGCGGGAGTATAGAATTTTCTTTTTTTTTTTTCTCTTTTTTTGAGACGGAGTTTCGCTCTTGTTACCCAGGCTGGAGTGCAATAGCGAAATCTCGGCTCACTGCAACCTCCGCCTCCTGGGTTCAGGCAATTCTCCTGCCTCAGCCTACTGAGTAGCTGGGATTACAGGCATGCGCCACCATGCCCAGCTAATTTTTTGTATTTTTACTAGAGACGGGGTTTCACCATGTTGACCAGGATGTTCTTGATCTCTTGACCTCGTGATCCACCCGCCTCGGCCTCCCAAAGTGCTGGGATTATAGGCTTGAGCCACCGCGCCCAGCCCAATTTTCGTATTTCTTGTAGAGATGAGGTTGCATCATGCTGCCCAGGCTGGTCTTCAACTCCTAAGCTCAAGCACTCCACCTGCCCTGGCCTCCCAAAGTGCTGGGATTATAGGCATAAGCTACCATGCCTGGCTTATTTTGTTGTGTGAAATTTTTTTTTAAATGAAAATGTGGCCGGGCGCAGTGGCTCAAGCCTGTAATCCCAGCACTTTGGGAGGCCGAGGCGGGTGGATCACAAGGTCAAGAGATCGAGACCATCCTGGTCAACATGGTGAAACCCCATCTCTAGTAAAAATACTAAAAATTAGCCGGGCATGGTGGCGCGTGCCTGTAATCCCAGCTACTCAGGAGGCTGAGGCAGGAGAATTACCTGAACCCAGGAGGCGGAGATTGTGGTGAGCCGAGATCGCGCCATTGCACTCCAGCCTGGGTAACAAGAGTGAAACTCCGTCTCAAAAATAAATAAATAAATAAATGGAAATGTACCTTGCGGCCAGGCACGGTGGCTCAAGCCTGTAATCCCAGCACTCTGGGAGGCCGAGGTGCGCGGATCACCAGGTCAAGAGATCGAGACCATCCTGGCCAACATGGTGAAACCCCGTTTCTACTAAAAATACAAAAATTAGTTGGGTATGGTGGTGTGCGCCTGTAGTCCCAGCTGCTTGGGAGGCTGAGGCAGGAGAATCGCTTGAACCCGGGAGGTGGAGGTTACAGTGAGCTGAGATTGTGCCACTGCACTCCGGCCTGGCGCCTGGCAACAGAGAGAGAGACTCTGTCTCAAAAAAAAAAAAAAAAAAAAGAAAAGAAAATGTACCTTGCCTAAGAAACTCAGGGAGGTAGGACAGAAAGAAGGCAGGCTGGTTGTTCAAGAATAATCCCCAAACAAGAATGTAGAGCTGGGCCAGGCATGGTGGCTCAGGACTGTAATCCCAGCACTTTGGGAGGCTGAGGCAGCTGGATCACCTGAAGTCAGAAGTTCAAGCCGGGCCAACACGGTGAAACCACACCTCTACTATAAATAAATTAGCTGGGCATGGTGGTGGACACCTGTAATCCCAGCTACTCGGGAGGGTGAGGCAGAAGAATCACTTGAACCCAAGAGTGGAGGTTGCAATGAGCTGAGATCATGCCATTGCACTCTAACCTGGTGACAAAAGCACTCTAACCTGGTGTCTTAAAAAACTGAATATAAGGCTGGGCATGGTGGCTCACACCTGTAATCCCAGCACTTTGGGAGGCCGAGGTGGGCAGATCACCTGAGGTTGGGAGTTCGAGACCAGCCTGACCAACATGGAGAAAACCCATCTCTACTAAAAAAAAAAAAAAAATTAGCCAGGTATAGTGGCGCATGCCTGTAATCCCAGCTACTCGGGAGGCTGAGACAGGAGAATCACTTGAACCCAGGAGGCAGAGGTTGCAGTGAGCCAAGCAACAAAAGCAAAACTCCATCTCAAAGAATGTAGAATTTACTATGACTCACGTGATAAGTTGTGACACAGAATGAAAAGAGCTGGCACCCAGGAATCAGCAATCTGAATGCAACATACAGGACCATTCTTAACCCTGATCGTCTACAGAGCACCTGAGTCCCTACCTCTTCCTTCCAAAGCCCTGGACCCCTATGTCCCACCCTTTAGACCCTCTTTCCTGCCCTAACATGCTGTCTCCATCCATGACCCATTAACTCACCATAGGTGACGACTTTGCCCATGGGTTTGAGGAGGTTGTAGCCCTTGGCAGTATCTGACCCGCCCAGAGGGTCCATGACGATGTCCACTCCTGTCATAGAAAAGGGGAACCCAAGAACAACATTAGGATCCACAGATCTGCAGCTCCCCTCCCTGTCCTGTCTTTCCCTAACCCCTCCCATGTTCTGCCCCCCACCTTTAGGGGAAATCTTCTTGATCTCATCCACGTAGTCAGTCGTGTGATAGTCGATGGGATGTGTGACCCCATTCTCCTTCAGTGCCTCGTGCTTGCTGGCCGAGGCTGTTCCGAACACTGTCACATTCTCCACTGTACGGCACAGCTGCACAGCAGCCATACCCACACCCCCTGCAGCAAGACACTCATAAGCAGGGGATATGGAGTTGCCCTGGCCACCAACCACTCCACTGTAGCCTCCCAAGGACTCAGCCTATCATTTTCACTTTGCCTTGGCTCATTTAGGGTCCATGTCCAATTTCCATGACTGAGAAGTGGTGGAAAGGGTGGCTAGAGAGGTGGGGGTGTGGGATGAGGGCACGTTGCTAAGGATAACACACCAGACTAGACCTGGTGCCTGAAGGTTACCACGGCAACTCTACTGCAGAGGTCTCTGGGCGCCACAGGCCAAGGCAGCCTGGTGTTGCCATGACAACAATCCAGACAGGCTGCAGGGAAGGGGCCTGGAAGGAAATCTGGGTGGGGTAAGGAGTGATAAAGGGAGGCCCCCTGTCACCTGCAGCCATGTGTACCAAGACGTTGTGGCCAGGCCGTAGGTTGCCGAAGTCAAAGAGGACCATATAGGCTGTAATGTAATTGACAAGCAAGGCAGCGGCTTCCTCAAAGGTCATGGCCTCAGGCATCAGGAAGGTATGAAGCGAGGGCACAGTCACCTCCTCCTGCCACATCCCTGATCGGTTCAACACCATCACCCGGTCTCCTACCTTGAAGAAGAGAAGAAGAACATTATTCAGTCACTCATTCATTCACCCCCAGGATATTTATTGATTTTCCCCTAGGTACAAGGCCACCTTCTTCCAGATGAAGTAGCAGCAGAAGCAGCAAAGTAGTCATGGTAATAATAATAATAATAATAACCTCATCACCAGTAACAAAAACAACTCACCTTTGGCCGGGCACGGTGGCTCACACCTGTAATCCCAGCACTTTGGGAGGGTGGGGCGGGTGAATAATGAGGTCAGGAGTTTGAGACCACCAGCCTGACCAACATGGTGAAACCTCATCTCTACTAAAAAGACAAAAATTAGCCAGGCATGGTGGTGCACACCTGTAATCCCAGGAGGCCGAAGCAGGAGAATTGGAGACGGAGGTTGCAGTGAGCTGAGATCGTGCACTGCACTCAAGCCTGGGCGACAGAGCAAGACTCCGAATTTAAAAAAAGGAAAAAAACAACTCACCTTTACTAAGTGCTGACTGACGGCCAAGCCTGATTTCAAGTGCTTTATATAAAACGCTCAATTAATCCTTGCATCACCTCTTTGAGGTAGATACTATCCTTATCACCTTTTTACAGAGCTTACATGTCACTATTGTGTAAGATCCCCGAATGCAAGAAGCTTACAGTTAGGGCAGCCCGAAGTATTGTGGAAGAGATCAAACTGCTGTGGTTACAAAAGTGGTCTCCATTGTTTACTGACTGTGTAACTTTGAATGAATAAAAATTACTTAATCTTTTTGAGCTCCAGTTTTTTGTTTTGAGACAGAGTCTGGCTCTATCGCCAGCCTAGAATGCAGCGGCGCGATTCTGGCTTACTGCGACTTCTGTTTTCTGGTTTCAAGCAATTCTCCTGCCTCAGCCTCCTGAGTAGCTGGGACTAGGGGTACGCACCACCATGCCCAGCTAATTTTTTTTGTATTTTTAGTAGAGATGGGGTTTCACCATGTTGGCCAGGATGGTCTCCATCTCTTGACCTCATGATCTGCCTGCCTCGGCCTCCCAAAGTGTTGGAATTACAGGCGTGAGTCACCGAGACCGGCCGAGCTCCAGTTTTCTTATCTGTCAATTAGAACAGTTATAAGGACCAAATGGAAAAAAACAACCATTTTCAGCACAATGTCTGGCACATAAGCACTTAGTAATGTCAGCCAATAATAATAATATAATAGCAAGGAAGTCACACAAACAGCCAAAATAAGACAGCACTTTATAGTCAGGTGGTATGGTGAGCTTCATCTACTACCAAAGTGCAGACAAAGTTCTCTGAGCACTTACAGCAGGGTGTGACCACCTCGGGAGAACGGTGTTTGACCCAGCACTGGGAGCACAAAAAACACGTCCACTCAGAGATGGTGCAGGAGGGGTGACAGACAAGGAGGGCTATACAGGCCTTTTACAGCAGTAAAAGGCTTCCCCCCACCCCCAGAGCCTCTGTACAGGAGGGAAAGGGGGCAAAGATAACAGAACCTGTCCCTCCAGCTTAGCAAGTGAAGTCAAGGGAAGGGAAGGGAAAAGGAGGGAGTGTCAGGAGAAAAGACCTCTCTGCGCTCTCTGAAGAGCATGGAGAGGGAGGTGTGGGTGCTGTTCCGGGACAATCCGGGTCTGTCTTGATCCCTTCGAGGAATGATGGCAATTCTGTATATTAACAAGAGTTAGGGTCCATGGAGAAGGGGGATGGAACTCCCAAATAAGCAATTTTTGTTTGTTTCTTTGAATCAGAGTCTTGCTCTGTCACCCAGGTTAGAGTAGTACAGTGGCGTGATTTTGGCTCACTGCAACCTCTGCCTCCCGGGTTCAAGCGATTCTCTTGCCTCAGCTTCCTAAGTAGCTGGGATTACAGGCTCCTGCCACTGCGCCAGGCTAATTTTTATATTTTTTGGTATAGACCGGGTTTCACCATCTTGGCCAGGCTGGTCTTGAACTCCTGACCTCGTGATCCACCTGCCTCGGCCTCCCAAAGTGCTGGGATTATAGGTGTGAGCCACTGCGTCTCACCACATATGCCCTTTTTTATGTCCTCAAGCCCCCACACTCCACTGAAGAGGAGAACTGAGGGATGCTGGGGTCTTCCCTTCCAAATTCTGGCCTGAGATGAGGTCTGGAGAACGACAACAATGGAAGTCCTCCACCCAGGGACTCAGGACTAGCAGACACAGAACAACCAGGAGAGCTTTGAGGAGTGCACTGCTCATTTGGGGTTGAGGCCAGTCCCAGATTTGGCCCAGAACAAGTCTCACCCTGTCTCATGCTAACCCTCAGCCCATCCAGATCAGGGCCATGATCCTCCCCAGCCCAGACACCAGGAGGGAGGAGGAGGAAGGAGGAGGGAGAGAGAGAGAGGGAAGGGCCCTCCCTGCAGAATCCAGGCTCTTACATCAGATTCTTGCCCTGGACAGGATATCCTGTATTTACCAGGCGGAAAGTGTGGGGAGGGGAGGTGAGGTGGGTGGCCTTCAGCAGTAACATGAACTACAACTACCCCTAAAAAACATTCCTCGTAGCACCTTCTTAAGAGCGGGATCATTTAGAAGTCAGTTTGAGGGTGGGGCCAGAGCTGAATTCAGAGGGAAGCCTTTAAGAAGCTGTTTGCATACAGGATGAATCCAACAAAGCTGACTCTGGTATCTGAGGTCTGCTTTAAAAAGAAACCCCTGGCCGGTGGCAGTGCTCATGCCTGTAATCAATTCCAGTGCTTTGGGAGGCTGAGGCAGGTGGGTCACCTGAAGTCTCGAGTTTGAGACCAGCCTGACCAACATGGAGAAACCCTGTCTCTACTAAAAAGTACAAAATTAGTGGCTCATGCCTGTAATCACAGCTACTCCGGAGGCTGAGGCAGGAGAATCACTTGAACCAGGGAGTTGGAAGTTGCAGTGAGCCAAGATCATGCCATTGCACTCCAGCCTGGGCAACAAGAGCAAAACTCCATCTCAAACACACACACACACACACACACACACACACACACACACACCCCTAAACAAATGGCATGCTGAGGCCTCATCCCAGGTCTCTCAAAAAGCTGATCATAGGCTGGGCGCGGTGGCTCACGCCTATAATCCCAGCACTTTGGAAGGCCGAGGCGGCTGGATCAGGAGGTCAAGAGATCGAGACCATGCTGTTCAACAAGGTGAAACACCTCTCTACTAAAAATACAAAAATTAGCTGGGCATGGTGGTGCGCGCCTGTAATCCCAGCTACTCGGGAGGCTGAGGCAGGAGAATTGCTTGAACCCAGAAGGCGGAGGTTGTGGTGAGCCGAGATCGTGCCATTGCACTCCAGTCTGGGTAACAACAGCGAAACTCGGTCTCAAAAAAAAAAAAAAAGAAAGCTGATAATTTGGAGTTTTCCAAATGACTGGAGAAGATTGGCCAAGATTAATGATAAATGAGAAGGAGAAACAGGCCTGCAGACTTGGCCAACCTGCTCAAGGAGCCACACCTCTCCGTTCCAGTCCAAACCCTTGGCATGGGGGTTTCTGAAGTGAGGGTCCTCCGCAGGGGGAAGGCAGAGGCGGGTCCCCACCCCCACTCCCTGCACCGGGCGTTCCCAAGGGCAGCCCCAGGTCGTGGCCCGATGGCTGAGTCACAGGAGGAGAAGATACTGCAGTCACGGGAGACACAGAGCCCAAGACAAAGATCGGGTGGCCCAATCCCTCCTACCCCACCCCAAAACCAGATCGGCGGTGTGAGGCTGGTGGCGGTGGGGGAGCTAGGCTCTCTCTCCTCCATGATGGGCGTGTCTCGTCTCTTTGGCCTTGCTCTGGGAGGGGCCACCTCACACCCCCACAGACCACGGGGCTGCATGTGACCAGGGCTCTGGCACGGCCGCGGTGCCCCCGCCCAACCCCGATGGCAGAGCCACTCAAGCTCCCTCGGTGAAAGGTGGCACTAACCGTCACTCACAGTCACAGACTGCAGTTACCCAGGAGATGAGTGTTTGGTGGGCAGGGGTACAGGTGTGGTTTTAATGGGGGCGGGAGGCGGTGGGGACGGTAGAGTCGTTGTGCGCATGCGCTAGGGCGCCTTATTGTTTCCCCCCCCACCACCAGCACCGCTTATGGGCGGCGGCCACAACTACAAATGGTTGGGGAGGGGGCGATAATTCAGTCTCCCCTCCCACTTAAATGCGGTTCTCCAGGAGCCCCAAAACACAAGTTCCTTTCCTACGTTTTCCACGCTCGTGCACCCAGGTCCGCGCCAGTCTTCCCGCCCTGCCACACCCCCAGCGCCCGCCCACTGGTGCCCCACTGCCCCGTGGCCTCCGCAGCCCTGCCCTGCGCAGCCCGCTCACCTTGCGGTCGCTGACTCCCTCGCCCACGGCGATCACGACGCCCGCGCCCTCCATGCCCGGAGTGACTGGCAGCGGCGGGAGCCGGTCGTACAGCCCCTGCCTGGCCATGAGGTCTGCGAAGTTGAGCCCGCAGGCCCGCACGCGCAGCGTCAGCTGGCCGGGCCCGGGGGCCGGGGGCGCGGCCGGCCGGCTCTGCAGCTTCACCTTGTCGTAGCCTCCAAAGCCCGTGAGCACCAGGCAGCGCAGCGGTGGCGGCGAGGCTGCGGCGGCGGCCCCTTCAGAGGCTGCGGGCTGCTGGGGGTCGCTCGCTGCCTCGGCTTTCGGGGGCGGCGAAGAGGCGTCTTCCCCGACCCCTGCCTCGACCGCAGCCAGCACGGTGGCCGCCTCGGCTACCTCTCTCTCGGCGGACATGGCTGGGACTCCCGACGAGAGCTCACAGCTGGACTGAGAGTGCACAGCTGGGGAGGGCGGGGCGCGTCGGGAAGAGCCGCGGCTGCGAGCTCCAGCGGGAGGGGCGGGGCGGGAGGGGGGGCGCCGGGAGGGGGCGGAGCCTCGCGCGCAACTTAAAGGGCCAGGGCTACAGCGGCGCTAGCTGGGAGGGCACGAAAACGGGAACAAGGAACGTCGATGGTCTTGGGATCAAGCAGGCCGCGATTTATTTATTCATATTCAACCTTATTCAAATTAAAAACCATGTTAAGGCCGGGCGCGGTGGCTCACGCCTATAATCCCAGCACTTTGGGAGGCCGAGGAGGGTGAATCACGAGATGAAGAGATCGAGACCATCCTGGTCAACAAGGTGAAACACCGTCTCTACTAAAAATACAAAAATTAGCTGGGCATGGTGGAGCGCGCCTGTAGTCCCAGCTACTCGGGAGGCTGAGGCATGAGAATTGCTTGAACCCAGAAGGCGGAGGTTGCGGTGAGCCGAGATCGCGCCATTGCACTCCAGTCTGGGTAACGAGCGAAATTCCGTCCCAAAACAAAAAACAAACAACAACAAAACAAAACAAAAAAACTATGTTAAGGGATAGGCCGGACACAGTGGCTCACGCCTGTAATCCTAGCACTCTGGGAGGCTAAAGCGGGTGGATCATTTGAGGTCAGGAGTTCAAGACCAGCCTGGCCAGCATGGTGAAACTCCCGTCTTTACTAAGAATACAAAAATTAGCCGGGCAGTAGTGGCGCGCATCTGTAATCCCAGCTACTCGGGAGGCTGAGGCAGGAGAATCGCTTGAGCCTGAGAGGGGAGGTTATGGTGAGCAGAGATTGCGCCACTGCACTCCAGTCTGGGCGAGTTAGATTCTGTCTCAAGAAAAAAGTTAAGGGGCAGTCCCAAAACTTGAACTTACATCAGATTTCATATTTGGCGAGTCAGCCACCTGTGGACTGGAGCCCAACTAAATTGTGTCTCAGGCTTTGACTCAACCTTTATGTACCCCAGGTAAGGATGAGACTTCATTCACTCTGGTCTTGAAGAGGCAAAGAAGGAGCATGAAGACAAAGCCTTTATTTATTTATTTATTTATTTTGAGACGGAGTTTCGCTCTTGTTACCCAGGTTAGAGTGCAGTGGCGCGATCTCGGCTCACCGCAACCTCCGCCTCCTGGGTTCAGGCAATTCTCCTGCCTCGGCCTCCTGAGTAGCTGGGATTACAGGCACGCGCCACCATGCCCAGCTAATTTTTTGTATTTTTAGTAGAGACCGGGTTTCACCATGTTGACCAGGATGTTCTTGATTTCTTGACCTCGTGATCCACCCGCCTCGGCCTCCCAAAGTGCTGGGATTACAGGCGTGAGCCACCACACCCGGCCGACAAAGCCTTTAAAACTTTCTTACTTTGGTGTTAATGTTCTGTTCCTCAGTTTCCCTTCTGTAAAATAGTGATGATGCTATGTGCTCTGATTATGTTTTTATGTGTTTTTTTTTTTTTTTTTTTTTTTTTTTTTTATACAGGATCTCACTCTGTCACCCAGGCTGACGAGGTGGCGCGATCACGGCTCCCTGCAGTGTGAAACTCCCGGGCTCAAGCAATCTTCCCACCTCAGCCTCCTGAATAGCTGGGGCCACAGGCCTGTGCTGCCACGCCCGGCTAATTTTATTTTTTATTACTCTTTGCAGAGCAGGGCTACCCCATAAGCAGTGTGCCTAGAGTGGTCAAACCTAGATAATTTTTAATTTATTTTTTCTAGAGACAGGGTCTCACTAGGTTGCCCAGGATGGTCTTGAACTCCTGCATGTTAGCACGCCTCCCAAAGTGCTGAGATTACAGGCGCGAGCCACCGTGTCCGGCTTCTAGTTATTGCCTCAGCCTCCCCAGTAGCTGGGACTACAGGCACGCGCCACCATGCCTGGCTAATTTTTGTATTTTTAGTAGAGACGAGGTTTCACTATGTTGGCCAGGCTGGTCTCGAACTCTTGACCTCGTATTCCGCCTGTCTCGGCCTCCCAAAGTGCTGGGATTATAGGTATGAGCCACCGCATCCGGCCAAAAAAGCACTTTTTTTTTTTTAAGACAGTCTTGCTCTGTCACAAGGTGCCAGGCTGGAGTGCAGTGGTGCCATCTCGGCTCACTGCAGCCTCCACCTCCCAGGTTCAAGCAATTCTTCTGCCTCAGTCTTATGTAGCTGGGACTACAGGTGCGTGCCACCACGCCCAGCTAATTTTTGTGTTTTTCACCGTATTGTAATTTTGTATTTTTCACCATATTGGCCAGGCTGGTCTCAAACTCCTGACCTTGTGATCCACCAACCTTGGCCTCCCAAAGTGCTGGGATTACAGGCGTGAGCCACCACGCCCGGAAAAGCAGTTTTAAAAGGTAAAGCCTACAAAAATTAGCAGGGAATGGTGGCGTGCGTCTGTAGTCCCAGCTACTCGGGAGGCTGAGGCCGGAGAATTGCTTGAACTCGGCAGGCAGAGGTTGCAGTGAGCAGAGATTGCGCCACTGCACTCCAGCCTGGGCAACAGAGCGAGACTCGTCTCAAAATAAATAAAATAAAAGGTAAAAAATGCCATGCAAATGCGTATCAGTGGTTTGATTAACTGTTAGACTCTGAATCCAGCCTGACTTTTGGGCTTAGCTCTGGCTTTAGCAGAGCAGGGCTGTCACTGTGGCGGTTATTTCTCTTCCGCCTCATCTCCTTCTCCCCAAGCATCCACCAGAGGACGCAGCGCCCCCAAAACTTTACAGCCAGTGCTTGGCTGGAGGAACTCCGTCCATGCTTCTCTGCTGGTCTAGGCCCGCGGTTAAGTCAATGAAACCCGAGACCCGGCTGCCGGTTGCCATGGACACGGAAAGCTATGACGTCACCACCGTCCGGGTGGGTGTGCTGGGGTTCACCCTCCCATTTCCCCAAGACCTCCTGCCGGGACAGGAGCGGAGGTGGTAGAGAAAACCAAAAAAGCTCCCTTCTTCCCCTAGCATCTTTCTCCCCCCGTGCTCAGGAAGTGGATGGCTGTCGCCGCGCTGTCCGCACGGGCACACTTGCGTGCACGCGTGGGTACACAGCAAGCCCCAGCTTCGCGTGTGTGCCGCTCACATTCTAACCCTAAGAACTTTGCCTGAACTCTGCCCTGCCCTTATCTCCGAGGAAGTCCTATAAGCCCTATTCGGCAGATCCCAAACCCGCAGGGGCCCCTCAGGCGCGCTGGACCCCGCTTCTGAGGCCTCTGTTCCTAGGGCTCCGCCCAGATCTGCTGGGCCCCGCCCCCTGGCTGCGCGGGTGGGAGGCGGGGCCGGGGGGCGCGGCCGCCGGGCTGGGGGCGGGGCGGAGGGGGGGCCGCAGTCCCGGGGCGGGGGCTCGGCGCGAGCCCGCGAGATGCCGGTGTCGGCTGCCCGAGCGGCTGCAGCTGCAGCGGCGGGGTAGGCGGCGGCGGCGGGGCCTGGGAGGGGGGTGGCGTGGGGGACCGGCGCGTAGCCGGGGCCATGGAGGGGCAGAGCGGCCGCTGCAAGATCGTGGTGGTGGGAGACGCGGAGTGCGGCAAGACGGCGCTGCTGCAGGTGTTCGCCAAGGACGCCTATCCCGGGGTGAGGGACCGGTGTCTTGGGAGGGGGGCGCTAAGGCTGCTGGGGGTGGGTGACAGGGGCCCTGGGGACGGATGGGAACGGGTACTCGGGTAACCAGGGACAAGAGATGGGGCCTCGGAGGACGAGGGGGAGACGTTGGGGGCTCAGGAAGGACTGCAGAGGATTGGGGTGGGAGGAATTAGGGAGCAGGGTGAGATGGATGGGGTTTGGGAGAACCAGAGCATCCAGGAGGGAGGGCAAGGGGAATGTCGGAGGTCCTGGGCAATAGAGAGGGAAAGAACTAGGGGGCTGAAGGGACGAAAAAGGGCCAGGAGGAGGTCTGGGAGCCTAGCAGAGATCCTGCAGGGGGGCAGGAACTCCTGGGATCTCCGCTTTACCCAATCCCAGACCAACTTGTGTCCAGGGGCAGGGCTGGACCGGGTGTGGGAGTGAGGAGGGCATTTGTCTGTGGTGAGGACTTGGAGAGAGGATCTCATCTGGATCCATCCGTGTCTGCAGAGTTATGTCCCCACCGTGTTTGAGAACTACACCGCGAGCTTTGAGATCGACAAGCGCCGCATTGAGCTCAACATGTGGGACACTTCAGGTAGCCAAGTCCCTGGGGGTCACTCCAACTTCCAAGGTGGCCCACTCTGTCCCCTCCCTTGGCTAGATCCTCAGGTTCCAGGTTAGCCCAGCCCATCCATCCAATTCCAGCAGGAAGGAAAAGTCAATTTTCTGCTTAAAGCCAGGGAAACTGAGGCAGAACGTGCAGAGCCTGACAGAAACCATGTCCTGAAGGAGAAAGCCTAGGATCTGAGCCCCTCAACTGGGTGCTGCCTACCTGGGAAAGTTGGGAAGGCATGGCTTTTAATTTGGAACATGTTTCTTAGGAGATAAGACTGGGTTTAGAAAAGACATTTAGTGGTGGCTCACATCTGTAATCCCAGCACTTTGGGAGGCCAAGGTGGGCAGATTACCTGAGGTCAGGAGTTTGAGACTGGCCAACATGGTGAAACCCACAAAAATTAGCCGGGTGTATGGTGTGCGCTTGTAATCTCAGCTACCCAGGAGGCTGAGGCAGGAGAATCACTGGAACCTGGGAGGCGGAGGCTGCAGTGAGCCAAGATCCAGCCACTGCACTCCAGGCTGGGTGACAGAGCGAGACTCTGTCTCAAAAAAGAAAAAAAAAAAAAAAAGAGAGAAGACATTTAGAATGTCTTGAGTGAAGGGTGGGCAGGGGGACTATTTCTCTCAACTGAACTAGAAATCTGAGGTCAAGTCCCAGAAGGATGGGAGTACTCTCCCTGTCACTGCTTTTTCTCTACCTGACACAGGGAAGGTTTTTATTTTCAAGAGTTCCCTTCAGGGCTTAGGTTACCAAAGCCCAGAAAGCACATGCAACATTTCATGAGAATGTCTGTAGATTTCCTGAGCTTCTCTAAGGGGTCCAAACCTCAGTCAAGATTAAAAATTATTAGTTTTTAAATCCCTAGGGAAGCAGAGAGCCATTTCCTACCATCTCACCTCCCTTCTGCCTGCTCCCTCGCTTGGGAAACACAGACTCTATGATGAGTATCAATGATTGCTCTTTTCCATTCTCTGCTCCCAGCATCCCTTGACCAGGCTCTCTAAGGTCTCCCATTCCCTTCCAGGCCTCCCACCCACTCAGGCCCCTCATGCCCTGTCTTCCTTCAGGTTCCTCTTACTATGATAACGTCCGGCCTCTGGCCTATCCTGATTCTGACGCTGTGCTCATCTGCTTCGACATTAGCCGACCAGAAACACTGGACAGTGTTCTCAAGAAGGTGGGAGCCTGGGGAAATAGGGCAGCTAGACCAAGGGGGACCAGACACCATGGTCCTGACACACGATGGGCCCGGAGGGAGTGATGGCTGGGGTATGGCCATCAGCTGGTTATCGGGTGAAGTTCTCATCCCTGCCACCCCTCCCTCCAGCCCCCATCCCTCCCAGCCACCCCCTTTCTGAAAGTCCTCAGCTGGATACAGCAGCTAAGGGAGGTGGGGGAGTGAAGGGAGAAGCACACACAGGATTCCTCCTCTGTTCTTTCCAACTCCTTGGGGTTGGGAGCCCTAGATGGAGGGTATGGGATGGGAATGCTGATCCTGGAGCTCAGGAAAGCCTTGTGGCCTCCTCTCCAGGCCCCTGTTTCCATGAGAAAAGCTGGTGGTGAATGGACAGAAGTCAGCTAGGGCAGCCCCAGTTCCCAGGTGGGGGAGGGGAGGGTAGGATAAGTTTGTTCCCAGGAAAGAGAGTATGGGAAAGGCAAAGGTTCCAGGCTGGCAGACCCTTCATAGCCACTATGGGAGAAGAGTCCACAGGCCCACCCCAGCCCTCTTCTCCCCCTGCTTCCCATTCACCCCATCCTGCTCTCAACCCATACCTAGCATTCTCACCTCCTTCCTCATGTGGTGAGTCCAGAGGGATACATGGTTTCTGCGTGCTGTGAGGAAGAGAGGGCACACTGCTGGCATGGAGCAGTGGCTCACCCTGTCCCTTCCTCCACCCCTCCGCAATTCTCTTTTCTTCTCCTACATAGTGGCAAGGAGAGACTCAAGAGTTTTGCCCCAATGCCAAGGTTGTGCTGGTTGGCTGTAAACTGGACATGCGGACTGACCTGGCCACACTGAGGGAGCTTTCCAAGCAGAGGCTTATCCCTGTCACACATGAGCAGGTGGGACTCTTGACCTCTGACAGCCTAGACCTGTCATCTCTACCCCTTCAGTCTCTGATTTGAAAACACCCTACCTGGCTCATCCCTTGTCCTGGCCTGTGACCTCTGACCTGATCCCTTGACCGCCCCCAGCCGTGACCTTCAACCCCAGCCGTCAGCCTCCATGCCCCTTTCTAAACTTCAGGCTAAGACGTACAACTTTCTCCCATGCGCTCCTTTTCCAGGGCACTGTGCTGGCCAAGCAGGTGGGGGCTGTGTCCTACGTGGAGTGCTCCTCCCGGTCCTCTGAGCGCAGCGTCAGGGATGTCTTCCATGTGGCCACAGTGGCCTCCCTTGGCCGTGGCCATAGGCAGCTGCGCCGAACTGACTCACGCCGGGGAATGCTGCGATCCACTCAGCTGTCAGGACGGCCAGACCGAGGGAATGAGGGCGAGATACATAAGGATCGAGCCAAGAGCTGCAACCTCATGTGAGGGGCTAGGAGGGGGCAGGGTGTGAAGCTGGTGGTGAGGGACACAATTGTTTCCCTGCCTTCCCCCAGCCTTCCTGACCTCCTGAGCCTGTCTGGGAAGTCTGGGCAGGCAGAGCAAGCAATTCTTCTGACAGGGGAGCTGGAGGGCAGAAGGGTATCATTTCTCATATCCTCCTCCCTCCTCTTCTCCAGTGGATGTTGAAGGGAGCTAATAGGGCTGGCATCAGGGGCATGAACTGGGATGGGGCAGGTGGGGGTTAGGGAAGCTGGTATCAAACAGTGACCTCAGTGGAATCGCCTATGTGAAGGGTACCCTCCTCTCCACCCCCACCCTCCATATCCTGGTTCTGGCCCAAGGAAAATGTCCATTCTGTGACCTTCTCTTTTCCTCTCACTTGTGCAGCTGTTCTCACACATCTTAACCTCTAGGCAACATGCACTAAATTCAAAAGCAAGGAGAAGCCCCTACCCGCATTAGTTCACCAGCCTTAGAACCTCCCTTCCCCCATAGTCACCCAATAAAGCCCACGTCCATGGAAAACGGCTGTGGCTTTAGTTTCGTTGCTTTTTAAAAAATCAATTTACCAATCTCTAGCAGTAGGAGGGAAAGTTAGACCTCAGCAGGAGAACTTTCCTGTCCATGTCCACAGGTGGAGCAGAGGACAAAGCCATAGGTTGGATCATTAGTGTCCTTTTAGGAGCCAGAACTGGGAGGAGACATCCTGGGACTGTTCATCCCAGTTAATGAAGTGGGCAATTCTCAGGCCATTAAGGGGTTTCAGAGCAGCTGACATGCAATTAGTCAGCATTTCTCAGCCCAGCCAGGCCTGCTGCTAGTGGGAGGGGTCCTGCTCACCATCAGTACCCCTGGCTTGGAGCCTGCTGGTGCCCTGGGGGTTGCAGGGTTAGGGAGGCATCAAAAGTCTCCATGTCAAAGAAGCTAACCCCGTACAGCGTGCAGTTTCTCAAGGGGTCAGTAGTTTGATTCTGGGGTCTCCTTAGGGGCTCAGGCCAGAGACCTTTCTCTCCTTCCATGCTGAGTTCCTTGATGACTTTCAGGGGAGCATCAACTGTAAGTTAGAGTTACCCTTACCCTGTCTCTTAAAGGAAAGATGGTGGAGGGGACTGCCGAGCGCCTGTTGTCAGGAAAGACAGTGCTGGTCTGTCTTCTCGGGAGTCTGGTTTCAGATTGTCCTGTATTCCCTCCCTGGCTCTGGTCCCACTGGCCTCTTTTCGGTGACATTCTCCCCCAGGAACCATCCCTGGCCCTTCCCTCCCCCAGCTCCACCCCCTGCCCCAGCCCCAGCCAGTTCTTCCAGACACGGAAGAGAACACTGATCTTATGGGACTATCTGTGGGATCCCACCCAAATTTATAGTCCATTCCTCCTTCATTCAGCAAATATGTACTGAACACCACCTGTGTGTCACACACTGGCTTGGGAGATTCCAAGGACCAGTCTCCCAGCTTCTGGAGGCCAGCCCAATGTGGAAGAGCGGTACCCCGGGTGTGAAGGTGCCGTGGCTGAGGGATTTTTTTTTTATAATTTAAATTTTGTTTAACAGCTCTGGATATGGAGGCTGAGGGATATTTGTACATGTATGGGGTGTTATGAGAGCTCTTTTGCAGCCTGAGAAGCCAGTCCTGTGAGCCAGGGCCTGAGGGTTGAAGAGGAGTTTGCCAGGTGTGAAAGGGGCAGGAAAGGCACTCTGGGCAGAGGGTACAGCATGTGTAAACACGTGGGGATGAGAACGGGCATGGCACTGTTGGGGCTCCCATGGCAGGGAGAGTAGAAGACAAGGCTGGGAAGAGGAACCAGGGTTTCATTCTGAGTATGTGAGGAGCCACCAGGAATTTCAGGCAGAGGGTGAAGTGATCAGATTTGTTTTTTGGATAGATGGTTATCTGGATGAGGTATTGGGGCTGGGAGATTTGGCTCTGAGATGTGCCATTTAAAATAGCTTCTCAGTGGTGGCTCACACCTATAATCCCAGCACTTTGGGAGGCCAAGCTGGGAGGATGGCTTGAAGCCAGGAGTTCGAGGCTGCAGTGAGCTATGATCATGCCATTGTCTTCCAGCCTGAGTGTCAGAGTGAGACCCAGTCTCTTAAAAAAAAATATTAAAAAGTAAAAAATAAAAAAATACCTTCTCCTTTCCCTTATGCCAGGTTCTAGTCTTGAGAGAAAAGGAAATCCCTACCCACCACTCCCTGGCTCATCAGATACCCCTATCCCAACCTCTCTTATGGGACTGGTCCATTTCAGCCAGTCTGAGTCTAGGAAACTTCAGTGACATTTGAAATTAAGTGCTCTTGGATAACCACTCCTTCAAACTGAGACCTGGTTAGGGACTGACTCAAGGACCCCAAGTCCTGGGCTAAAGGTACAGGAGCAGGCAGGGCTCCAGGTCCAGTGAGGTGGATCTCCATCTGTCTCTGAGGACTGACCCTTTCCGTACCAGGACCTGCCATAAAAACCGACTTGCAGTTTTTAGCTGAGTGGCTTCTCTTTTCCACTTTGGGCTTCTCAGTGCATAGCAGGTTCAAGCCCGCAACCACCAAAGCGTAGAGTGGAGAGTTTGTGTACCCTTTCCTCCAACCTCCATCTCCTGCCATGTGAGCTCAGGGAATGCAAATGCATTTCAGTATCCCCCTAAAGCAACACAATTAGAAATATCAATCAGCTGGAGGAACCCCCAAAGTTTAATACATATTCAATGCCACCAGGAATGGATTTTTGGTCCCGTTCTGCAGGTCTCAGTTGCCAGATGTTTTATTTCTGGGGAGGAGGGCTCTGGGCTGAGGAGCTCAGTGGGTGGGAGGAGGAAATGGGACTGTTCCTGATCCCCAAAGGCCTCTGTAGGCTGGAGGGAGGGGACCTTACTCCCTCCCCTACCACAGATGCAGGAGTCACCCAGCTTCCTTCTCCACAGCTGTTTCCCTCACAAATTAGACACTGGTTTGGGAAACAATGTAGCCTCGTTAATCATTTAATAAAATAAACAACTAATCACACTGTGATGCCAGTGTTTGTTTTTTTGTTTGTTTTTGTTTTTCTGAGACTTTGAGACAGAGTCTCGCTCTGCCATTCAGGCTGGAGTACAGTGGTGTGATCTCAGCTCATCATAACCTCCACCTCCCGGGTTCAAGCCATTCTCTTGCCTCAGCCTCTCATGTAGCTGGGATTACTGGCGCATGCCACCACACCCAGCTAATTTTTCTTTTGAGATGGAGTCTCCCTCTGTCACCAGGCTGGAGTGCAGTGGCATGATCTTGGCTCACTGCAACTTCCGCCTCCCAGGTTCAAGCCATTCTCCTGCTTCAGCCTCCTGAGTAGCTGGGACTATAGGCATGTGCCACCTTGCCCAGCTAATTTTTGTATTTTTAGTACAAACAGAGTTTCACCATGTTGTTAGCTAGGATGGTCTTCATCTCTTGACTTTGTGATCTGCCCGCCTTGGCCTCGTAAAGTGCTGGCATTACAGGTATGAGCCAGCATGCCAGGCCTAATTTTTGTATTTTTAGTAGAGACGGGGTTTCATCATATTGGCCAGGCTGGTCTCGAACTCCTGCCCTCAGGTGATCCATACACCTCAGCCTCCCAAAATTCTGGGATTACAGATGTGAGCCACTGCACCCAGGCTAGTGCTTCTTAACCTAGGCAATCAGCCTGTCTAGGAGGGAGGAGTGGCGAGGACAGGGTAAATGGGAACAGAGGACTCAGTTGAACCCCGGAAACCCTTCAGCTGACAAAGGTCCTCCCATTGTGACTCTGGCCCTCCCAGGAGGGATAGTCATGTGAAGAGCTTCAGATTGGGAGGCAGAAGTCCCAGAGCCTGGGTTGAGCTCCACTGCTTCTTCCCTGGGGAGCCTCTGGTGAGGCCCGGCACCTCTCTGAACCTGTTTTGCACCTAGAAAAGGGGGCTGATCAGCCGGGCACGGTGGCTCATGCCTGTAATCCCAGCACTTTGGGAGGCCGAGGTGGGCAGATCACAAGGTCAGCAGATTGAGACCATCCTGGCCAACATGGTGAAACCCCAGCTACTCAGGAGGCTGAGGCAGGCAGGGGAATCGCTTGAACCCAGATGCAAGAGGATGCTGTGAACTGAGATCGTCCCACTGCACTACAGCCTGGGTGAAGGAGCAAGACTCCGTCTCAGGAAAAAAAAAAGGAGGGGGGGGGCTGATCTGATCACCACATCTACCTCATTGTGTTGCTGAGCTGATGCCAATCTTTGTTCTTTACAACTACCACACCAAGGCTTAAGTGCTTGTAAGCCGGGCCTGAGGGAATCAGGAAAGGCTTCTTGGAGGGGTATTTTGTGCTGGGACTGGAAGGCTGGAGAAAGACAGAAGACAGGAAACAGGAGGTGGTTATGACTTGTTCCCACACCTATCCTGGGGCCTGAGGGCCTTTAGTGACTCCTCCAAAGACTGAGGTCCCTTGGTCTCCATTTTTCTGAACTCCTCTCATTACTTTTTCTGCAGTCTCTGGGTGAGGACTTCATGTTGCCATAGTGACCCTCTCCCTGCTTCAGATGCACTCAGACTCGTCTCGCAGGCTGGGAAGGTGCGGGGGAAAGGTCATGTCCCTGAGATTCCCAGTGGGTCAGGCAATCCTGCCACAGCTCTCTCCCCCAATCCGCATTCTCTTCCCCAGGAAAGGGTTTAGCGTTTTGTTCTTAGTTTCTTCTACACAAGGGGGCTCCTCTCCAGTGTCCTTCCTTCCAGCTGGGTTGCTGGATCTCCACCCATCTCTGGTCAATCACTTACTTGCTCTCCTCTGGTCAGTCCTTTACTTGCTCTCCTCAAGGCTGCGAGTGAGGGTCAGAGAGAGGGGAGGCTCCAGGTCCGGAGCAGCTACTCTCCAGCAGCCGAGACAAGAGAGCCATGTACACTAGTGCCCCTCCCCACAAGAAAATGCCTTTGTTGGTGACTTCTAAATAACAGATGTCTGTCTGCATATTAATGAGATTGGACGAATAATTGGTGAGATTTTCATTCAGTGTCAGAATGAACCCAGAGGCCTTATGTTCATGCACACAGACACCCACTCACCCCTGACTCTCCCCTTCCCCCACAGCACAATGAAACAAACACGGACGCTGGCAGGCTTGACCCACAAAGGGGAGGGGCAGACGGGGAACCACCGGGAGGGGTGTTACCAGGAGGGAGACCCCCATGGTTGGTCTGGGTTTGTCAGGTTTCTTTCTTGATCACTGCCTTCCCATCTCCCCAGAGGTGAAAGCTTGCATTTGTGAGATTTCGACACCTGCAGAAGGGGCCCAGAAGAGGAGGGGGTTCTGGGGGGAGGCAGCCACTGTCTAGAGGAGAGCAACAAAACAGTGGCCTCCTTCAGCAACGCTGTGCCTCACTTGAGTCTGGAATCAACCAGCCCCTTACCTTGTGTTAGACCAGGGTGTGAGATGGAAGAACAGAGGTTTCAGAGTCAGGAAATTCCAATTTGCTAGCTGGGTGCCCTTGGCACAAGTTACTTAACCTCTCTGAGCCTCACCTACCTTGTAAGATTGAAAGGATGAAATGTGTCATGTGTCTTAGTGCCTGGTTTATAATAGGCCCCAACACATATTTTTCTCTCCCCACCTATCCCCAAAACAAACCAAGACACTTACTAAATTGCTGCCTCTCCTGCCAGATCCATCTTTGTTAGGGCAGGGATTAATTACAAGTCTAGTAATTATACTAGCTGCCTGGAAACCAAGAGGAAAAGATAGAGGGGAACAGAAACAGAGAAAAAGAAATAGACACAGGAGACAGAATGATGGAAACAAAGGCCCTGGGACAGGAGAGAGACCACACAAACATGGGAATCGGGGCATGGAAAAGGTATTGTGGGGACCAAAGTAAGCCTTCCAAAGACAGTTTAGAATCCAGGTCCGGTGCGGGCTCATACCTGTAATCTCAGCTACTCTGGAGGCTGAGGTGGGAGAATCACTTGAACTCAGGAGTTTGAGACCAGCCTGGGCAACATAGGGAGACACCGTTTATAGACAAAAATAAAAAAGAGGCTGGTGCGGTGGCTCAAGCCTGTAATCCCAGCACTTTGGGAGGCTGAGGCGGGCAGATCACCTCAGGTTGGGAGTTTTAGACCAGCCTGACCAACATAGAGAAACCCCGTCTCTACTAAAAATACAAAATTAGCTGACGTGGTGGCGCACATGCCTGTAATTCCAGCTACTAGGGAGGATGAGGCAAGAGAATAGCTTAAACCTGGGAGGTAGAGTTAGGTGCAGGTTGCCATGTGATCTGAGATCTCGCAATTGCACTCTAGCCTGGGCAACAAGAGTGAAACTCCATCTCAAACAAACAAACAAAAAGAATGCTGGGCGCCTATAATCTCAGCACTTTGAGAGGCCAAGGCGGGTGGACCACAAGGTCAGGAGTTCGAGACCAACCTGACCAACATGGTAAAACCCCGTCTCTACAAAATAATTTAAATAGAAAAAAGAGGCTGGGTGCAGTGGCTCATGCCTGTAATCCCAGCACTTTGGGAGGCCGAGGCGGGTGGATCATGAGGTCAAGAGATCGAGACCATCCTGGTCAACATGGTGATACCCCATCTCTACTAAAAACACAAAAAATTAGCTGGGCACAGTGGCACGTGCCTGTAATCCCAGCTACTCAGGAGGCTGAGGCGGAAGAATTGCCTGAACCCAGGAGGCGGAGGTTGCGGTGAGCCGAGATCACGCCATTGCATTCCAGCCTGGGTAACAAGAGCGAAACTCCATCTCAAAAAAAAAAAAGAAAAGAAATAAAAATTGGCTAAGTATGGTGGCATGTGCTTATAGTCCTAGTTACTCAGGAGGCTGAGGTGGGAGGATCACTTGAACCAGGAGTTCGAGGCTGTAGTGAGCAGTGATCACACCACTGCACTCCAGCCTGGGTGACAGAGTAGAACCCTATCTCAAAAAAAAAAAAAAAAAAAAAAAAAGAGAACCAGTGCTGTGGCTCACACCTGTAATACTAGCACTTTGGGAGGCCAAGGCTGGAAGATCACTTGAGCCCACAAGTTCGAGACCAACATGGGCAACACAGTGAGACCTTGTCTCTACAAAAAATTAACCAGGTGTGGTGGCCCACAGAAGGCTGAGGTGGGAGGATCACTTGAGCCTGGGAGAGGTTGCAGTGAGCTGAGATTGTGCCACTGTACTACTCCAACCTGGGTGACAGAGCCAGTCCTTGTCTCAGAAGAAAAAGGATCCAGAGGTTAGTCTAAAACGCTTCGTTTTACCATGTTCTCCCTGTTGCCCACAGCAAGTCTCACCCCCTCTCAGCACCTCAGTCTCTGCTTCTGTGAAGTGAAGGGGTGATTTTCTAAGGTCCCTTCTCATTGTGTGAGAACAAGAGTCCCAGTGGCCTGGGAGCACAGGGGAGGGGAGGCGGCTGCCCACCCTTCGACACTATTACCCATTGGTCACTTGTGCTCTGTCTTCTCTCTGCCTTGGTAAATGGATCTGCTGCGCCAGCAAACAACTGTCCATTGTGTCCTAATGAGGGACGAGCAGGGAAAACCAATCACTTATGATGCAAATGAGCTGACGGCTGCAGCCTCCTCACATTCACTGAGTGCTTCTCTTCTGCCCAAAGCCCGGCGTGGCGCCACCCCAGTTGGGCCTTTCTTCCTAGCCCCAGTTCCCATCTGGTCCTGGAGGAGGAATGGGGAGGCCCAGACTGGCCTCCCCATTGTTCACTGCCACTCCCTGTAAGGAGTTCCAATCCTCATGGCCTGGCTCCTCTCCCCACCCTCATAGGTGGCTCCTTTTTTTTTTTAAATGGACTGAAATTCACATAACACACAATTAGCCAGTTTAAAGTGTACAGTTCAGGGGCATTTAGTGCATTCACAATGTTGTGCAACCACTACCTCTCTGGACTCAGGTTTTATGCCCCCTGCTCATTCTATGCCCCACAGCCGTCAGTGGGACTGGGAAGCTGCTGAGGCCTCAGCGGAGTTGAAGACTAATGGAGGCTAGTGTATAGGCTGGGAACAGCCCAGAGCTGGCCTGAGGTGAAGAGGTGATCCCCACGCTTTAGGATGGTGCTAGAAGGCTTGGGCTTTGGTGGGAAGGGGACATCACTGCCCTAGCCAGCACAGACCTATGGCCACATCATAGAACATTCTATTTTTTTTTTTTTCTTTGAGACAGAGTTTTGCTCTTGTTGCCAGGGCTGGAGTGCAATGGTGCGATCTCAGCTCACTGCAACCTCTGCCTCCCAGATTAAAGTGATTCTCCTGTCTCAGCCTCTTGAGTAGCTGGGGTTAACAGGTACACACCACTATGTCCAGCTAATTTTGTATTTTTAGTAGAGACAGTTTCACCATGTTGACCAGGCTGGTCTTGAACTCCTGAGCTTACATGATCTGCCCACCTTGGCCTCCCAAAGTGCTGGGATTACAGGCATAAACCACCATGCCTGGCCTCAGAACATTCTTGAAGTTCCATGGAGATTTTTTTTTTTTCATCTTTCTCAAGCATTAGAAACCAGAAGTGGCTTCTGTACAGATCTTGGTTTCCATAGCTTTCAGAGCTTCTGTGGGCTTGGAGATGATCTGTTAGCAGCTTTCTCATTTTCACAGCTGCAGAAGGCCCTGAGACAGCCCCACAGCCCTTTACCTCCAGGAAAGACCTCCCTCCGCCAAGCTCCAGGAACAGGGTTTATCAAGGGAAGACTTTCTACCTAATTTGTACTAGCTTATTCCAGAGTCATATAGCCTAACAGCTGGGAAGAACCTCCTGAGTTTCTCCTGCTCATATACACTACCATTTGGTTTGAGATGACTTTCAAGAGAAGATGGCAACATCTGCTTACCTGTGTCTGTATTACCTTGGATTCACCCTCTCTTCCCTCATCTAGGACATGCGATTTTGCACACACACACACACACACACACACACACACCCTCTGGAATTAACCAGTGCCAACTGCTGCAGCACTGCAGAGAAAAAAACTCTATAGTCAAACACTTTCTCTTATCTTCCCCTGTGCTTACCTCTATTCACCTGGAGTCCAGGTAGTTGACTCTTTTCTAGACATATCCTAGAAAACATAATGAAGGCATTTCCATCTGTGGCCTAATAAATAGGGGGTCCTGGGCTACTTATTTCCAGGTCTGCCACCAGCTCACTGAGTGACCTTTGACAAGGCTCTGGACCTGTTTTAGCACCTATAAAGTGGGGTTAGCAATCTTTGTCCTAGTGAAGTGGGAGAGATAATGGCTGGGCTAGTGCTTTGTACTTGCAAAGAAATCATCATGAACACCATAATTATTTCCCTAGTGATGGCGGCAGCAGTCTCTCTGTCTGCCTTGAGTGGCCAGCATGGAGAAAAGCTCGCTGATGGAAAGGGGAAAATGTTATTCTGTGTGGGTGGATGTTGGTCTGATTAATTACAAAACAGTAGTCTTCATGATAGGCAAAAGAGAATCAAAGAGGCTGGGTGTGGTGGCTTATTCCTGTAATCCTAGCACTTTGGGAGGCTGAGGTGGGTGAATCACCTGAGGTCAGGAGGTCGAGAAGAGCCTGGCCAACATGGTGAAACCCTGTCTCTACTAAAAATAAAAAAATTAGCCAGGTATGGTAGCAGGTGCTTGTAATCTCAGCTACTCGGGAGGCTGAGGCAGGAAAATCGCTTGAACCCAGGAGGTGGAGATTGCAGTGAGCCAAGATTGCGCCATTGCACTACAGCCTGTGCAACAAGAGCAAAACCCCGTCTCGAAAAAAAATTTAAAAAAAAGAGAACCAAAGAGACAATCCTTAGGCGTGGGTTTAGGAGTCATTCTTGGACACTTAGATCCCTTATATTGTTTTTGGAATCAATCTGGATCATAGAAAAAGGGGTGAAAGGCATTGAAGAGAATTAGTATTCCAGAACATGGCTAGTTTTCCAAAGTTCTTAAGAGTGGAACCAGTAGTTGGATAAGCCCTTCAATGTACTGAGTCCATTCATTCATCCTTTACTTCATTCGTTTAGGAAAAACTCATTGGGTGCCTAATAAAGTATCTGCTAGTTACAGAGCTGGGTTATACCAAAGACAAAATAATTATGGTCATAAGGGATTATAAAGACCTTCTAGTCAAATAAAGAGGATAAAATATGCACACAATTAACTTCAACTGAATAGAGTGTCACAAATAAAGCAAAACTTCTGGAGTATTCTCCAGAAGAGAACATGGGGAGAGATTCTGGCCTAGAAAACCTGGGTGAGTGGGCAGGATTAGGGCCTATGGAGATGGCAGATCAGGACTTGCCTAGCAGAACATAAGAGTATGAGCAAAATTTATGGGTTACCAAATTTGATGGGCAGGGTGCCTGAAAAGAAAAGCAGATAAGGAATTGGAGAGGTTGGGTTTGGGCTTGGGATGGAAGGTCTGGAGAGACTGGGTGGGGACAAAGGGTCAGAAATATTTATTCTTTCAGGACTCTCAATCGGTGCTCCTTCCTTCAATTCTAGCTGGAGGCTCTTACCTGGGCCTGTGGAATCTTCAGGTTTTCTTTTCATCTGGCTGAATCTTACCCAAGACCCAAGGCCCAGTTGAGATGCCTCCACCAGAAGTCTCTCGCAACAGGCAGAGCCTGGCCCTACCACACAGTCCCCCAAAAGAATTTTGTACCAGAATTCTGCAAATTTTCTTTGGCTTTTTGTTTTTTTGTGATGGAGTCCCACTCTGTCACCCAAACTGGAGTCCAGTGGCATAGTCTCAGCTCACTGCAACCTCCGCCTCCCGAGTTCAAGCTATTCTCCTGCCTCAGCCTCCCAAGTAGCTGGGACTACAGGCACGCACCACCACGCCCAGCTAATTTTTGTATTTGTAGTAGAGATGGGGTTTTACCAGCTGGCCAGACGGGTCTTGAACTCCTCACCTCAGGTGATCCGCCCACCTTGGCTTCCCAAGGTGGTGGGATTACAGGTGTGAGCCACTTCGCCTGGCCTTCTCTGGCTTTCTTTTCTTGCCTCGACCATTGAATAGTAACCAATCTGAAGGCCAGAAATGGAGTTTTTCACCCTCTTTTCCACAGCTACACACATACATGCACACATAGACACATGAATGCCCATACACAACACAACAGAACTGGGCACAAAGTGTCCCCTCAATCATTAACCTTGTTACTCACCACCTCCCAGGACTGGTTCTCAGCATAATGCACTGGAAAGAGCACCAGGCTTTAGCCCCACACAAATCTTTGTTTGAATCTGGGCTCTGCCCTTTCCTTTTGTTGTGTGACCTTTCGTAAGTGGCTTGACCTCTCAAAACTTCATTTTCCTCATTTCTATGTGGGGAATACTGCCTGGCACTTGGTAGGAGTGTGGCAAATAGTCATTAATGGTGACCGTTGTTGCTGCTGAGAGCTGGCAAGATCAGTCGACAGGACCCAGGGCTGGGTTTTCATTTTCCTTCTCTTTTAATTTAGTTGTCTTCTCCTCCCACCTGCCTGCTCTGTTTTGTCCTCGCTGCGTCTTTCCTGTCACCAGTCTCTGGGTCTGCCTGCCTCTCTCCCTCCAGGCTGGCTTTCTCTTCTCTCCTCACAGAGCTCGGCTACTGCTGACTCTCACAGGGTATGAGCTGTCTGTGCCTTGCGCACTATCAGTCAATAAAGATAAATTACAAAATCATTTGTTTTATTTGTTCTTATTACCTTGAGGGCTGTCTGAAATTGCCTTTCTCTTGAAAGCCATATTTGCATGTCTCTATGCTGGAGTCAAAGGCTGCAGCTGTGGTTTCAATACAATTTAAATATTAATAAAACCTCCTAAACCTTTAGCTGTTTTTTAAAAAAGCAATCTGGCCCTTCTGCTCCTAGATTGCTAATATAATTTAATCTTTGTCCTTTGCATTGTTCAGCAGTCCCCTCTTATCTGTGGGGGACATGTTCCAAGACCACAAATGGATGCCTGAAACCTCGGATAGTACCAAACCCTATATATAACTATGTTTTACCCCATACATACATACCCATGATAAAATTTAATTCATAAATTAGGCACAGTAAGAGATTAACAATAACTAATAGTAAAATAGAACAAGTCAAACGATATTCAAAATGGTGGACAATTTAAAACATATGACTGGTTTGTTTCTGGAACTTTCTTTTTAATATATTTGGACCATGGTGACCATAGGCAACTGAAATCGAAACCATGGATAAGTGGGGGGACTAAAGCCTTTGCTTAAAGAGCCTTTTTGAAGTTAACTGAAGCCAGCTGTTGCAACCTTGTAGCTAAGAACCACTTACCAGCCTGCAAACCTTATTTATCCTGAACAAGCCCTTACAAAATAGACCACAGGTAACATTTTCTACCAATTAGCAGCCCCTTACACTAAGCCATTGGTTCTCAAGCTTGAGCCTGTTGCAGAATCATAGGTTGCTAGCCCCACTTAAGTTTGGGATTCAGTGGGTCTGGGAATTTACATAAATAACAAATTTCTAGATGATGCTGTTGCCCCCTCACACTCCCACCAGGAGATCAAGCTTTGAGAACCTCTGCACTGAACTGTAATGTTAAGTTGTCATATCAGTTTGGGTCCTTGAAACCACGTCTCCAGAGTTCATATTCCCCAGCCACCAGAGTTGGGGAGAAGTCGCTCCAGATCTTGATTTCCAGTCCCTTAAATAACTGCTTACATTTTCCTGATCCTCCAGACATTCAGGATCAGCTCCTGCTACACCTCCCCAATACCTGCTCAACACAGGAGCTGTTTCTAGTTTTCCTTCATTTTTTATTTGGCCAGATTTGTTTAATTTTCTCCTTGTTACAGGCAGAGTTACAAGCTGTTCAAGGGAACTTGGCCTCACTGAAGTATGGTGGAGGGGGCTGCTAGCTCAGCCATTTTCCAGTAGTCTTTGATAAGTAAGCCCCCACATTCCCTGGGCAGCAGGCCCCATTCTCCAGGGCTTCTTTGGGTAGATTGCAGCTCCCCCTCATCCTGCCACTCTCTGTGCCGTCTCCCTCTGGGGCTGACCTTATCTGCTCCTCACAGCCTTCAGAGGACACATTCTGGGCAGCTGGCTCCTTCCACTCTGACCACCCCAACACGGATTCCTTTCTTTTTCTCCTGCATGTTTTTAAGGCGATACTTTTTTGATGATTCTGGTTGCATTTTTTAGGAGGGAGATAATCTGCCAGAGCTCTTCTCTAGGCCCCCTCCCTGTGCCTGCCTGATAAACCTTTCTCCTCCTTCCTTTCCAGCTTCTTTGTAGAAGTTTGTTTTGTAAAATGAGATAAAGGCAGTGCAGGAACTAGTTCCCAAGTGCTGCTGTGCCCAGAGAAGGCTAGAGATTGTGGGGTGGAAAAGTGGGAGGACATCCCAGTCAGAGGTCAGAGGAACGTGGATTAACTCCATCATCAGATAGGACTCTTAACCTGGGCCAGGTATCATGAGGCCAGGGACTGAACTTGACTTCTGGGAAAGGTTATGTAGAGCTTGAAACAAATGTTGTGTGTATTTGTTGGAAGACCTTAGAGACAATTATAGAAAATTTAATGTGTTTTAGTCATCTTTGCTTCACTCACTATTCTTGAAAAGGCAGCCGGGTGCAGTGGCTCACGCCTGTAATCCCAGCACTTTGGGAGGCCAAGGTGGGCGGATCACCTGAGGTCAGGAGTTCGAGACCAGCCTGACTAACATCATGAAAACCTGTCTGTACTAAAAATACAAAAATCAGCCGGGCGTAATGGCGGGTACCTGTAATCCCAGCTACTTGGGAGGCTGAAGCAGGAGAATCGCTTGAACCTGGGAGGCGGAGATTGCAGTGAGCTGAAATCATGTCACTGCACTCCAGCCTAGGCGACACAGGGAGACCCTGTTTAAAAAAAAAAAAGAAAAGGCAGGCTGTACTAGATAGATACTGCTTTTGCTATTAACCCATCAGTGATAGGGCAGCAGGCTGAGGCCTGGCTCACCCGCAAGGCCCAGTAGCACTTCTGCTTGCTTCCTGCCTGCCTTTACTGCTAACACTGAGACCCATCAACTTACTGGCAGGTAGACAGGGAGCTGGCATGGGTACAGATGAGAATGAACTGGAAGGCTTTAACAACTAAGATACACAGTCATAAGCTGGGAGGCCAGAGAGAAGTGGAAATAGTAGCCATGATCCACTCCTGCAAGACCCTTTGTCTGACATGGGCTGCTTTTACTGTCTCCTACAATAGCCCCAAAAAGGAATTGAGGGCTGGTTCCCCTCACAATCTACTTCTCTCCCCAAATTGCCTTAAGGCTTGAACCTTCCATCCTGAGGTCAGTGACAGAGGCAGATGGAAAACTGATGATGGGAATAGAAAGGTGGCTTTGGATCTCCATGTAGTCACTTATTAGCTGTGCAATTCTGAGTGAAATCTTATAAGGAACTTGAGATTCAACTCCAATTTTTCAAATGAGGTAACAAATACCCACTTCATAGAGCTATGATGAAGACTGATATAAAATGTAATAATGGCAGTTAGCTGCATTTTCTCTATCTTCCTTCACTGTCACCACCAAATACAGCAGTACTGAATTGTGTGATGACTTCATTCTCTGCTCAAAAAGGGTTCCAATCCCTGAGCAGTGTGAGGACGAGGAAATAATGGTACAGAGTATCATCTGTAGATTAAGTATGCTAAATAGCCTGGCGCAGTGACTCACGCCTGTAATCCCAGCATTTTTGGGAGGCCAAGGCAGGTGGATCCCAAGGTCAGGAGTTCAAGACTAGCCTGGCCAAGATGGTGAAACCCCATCTCTACTAAAAATGCAAAAATTAGCTGGGTGTGGTGACGGGCACCTGTAATCCCAGCTACTTGGGAGGCTGAGGCAGAGAATTGCTTGAACCCGGGAGGCGGAGGTTGCAGAGAGCAGAGATCGCACCACTGCATTCCAGCCTGGCCCACAGAATGAGACTCCATCTTGAGAAAAAAGGAAAAAAAAAAACTATGTTAAATAGAAGTCGTAGGCAGATTTCTAAAGACATCCTCCCTTGATTGCTATCTTCTGGTTATTCAATCCAACACTAATCTAGGTACTGCTCTGAAGGGACTTTGCAGCTATAATTAAGGCTATGGACCTTAAGATACGGAGATCACTTTGGATTACCTGGTGGGTGCAATCTAATCACTTGAGCCCTTAGAAACAGAAATGTCTCTGGCAGGAGTTAGAAAGATGCAGCAAGGGCCGGGCGCGGTAGCTCATGCCTATAATCCCAGCACTTTGGGAGGCCGAGCCGGATGGATCACGAGGTCAACAGACCGAGACCATCCTGGTCAACAAGGTGAAACCCCGTTTCTACTAAAAATACAAAAATTAGCTGGTCATGGTGGTGTACGCCTGTAGTCCCAGCTACTCTAGAGGCTGAGGCAGGAGAATTGCTTGAACCCAGGTTGCGGTGAGCCAAGATGGTGCCATTGCACTCCGGTCTGGGTAACAACAGCAAAACTCTGTCTCAAAAAAAAAAAAAAAAAGATGCAGCAGTCAGAAAGATTTAATGTGAGGAAAAACTTGACCCCACATTGTTGGTTTTGAAGATGGAGGCAGACGGGCCAGAAGCCTAGGAATGTTAGGAGCCTCAAGAACCTGAGAATGACGCCTGGCCAACAGCGGTGGGAAACAGGAATCCTAGTTCTAAAATTGCAAGGAACAATTCAGCCAACAACATGAATGTTTATCCCCAGAGCCTCTAGAAGGGAGCACCACCCTGCCAACACATTTATTTTGGCCTTATGAAACCTGAAACAAAGAAACAGGTGAGCCACCTCAGACTTCTGACCTTGTGACAATTTGTTTTGGCAGCAGCAGGAAATACAAAAGGCATTTAAGCTCCCTCAATAAACCCTAGGAGGTAGATACTATCATTACCCCCATTTTACAGAGGAGGAGACTGAAGCACAGTGGACAGGCTCTGAGAAGGTCTGCTGGCCTGTCTCAAGAACAGTCATTCATGGCGGAAGTGTTTGCTACCAAGTTTATTTGCAGTGTAACATTTACAAAACGTATTTTGTACAATCAAGTCTTCACTGCCCTTGCACACTGCGGGGCTAGGGAAGACACAGTCCTTCCAACAGCTATAAGCAGTACTGGATAATGAGTTTCTGAAAAACACTTTTTCTTTCTTCAGCAAGCAAAATTATTTATGAAGCTGTATGGTTCAGCAATAGAGAGCAAAGGGAAAAAAATACCTCAAAGAAAGCAACAGCTCCTTTCCTAGTGGGATCTGTCATTTTATAAACATGAAATATTCATGTCAGAGATCTTATATATATATTTTTTCTTTCTTCCCCCGTATGAGGTACACGCTACAGAGACCTTATATTTTAAGAGGAATGTGTTATATATCAGAGCTACAACAATAAACATTTTATTTATTACTAATGAGGAATTAGAAGACTGTCTTTGGAAACTGGTTCTTGAAAATCTTCAGCTGTTTTAGAACACATTCTTTAGAAATCTAGCAAATATACCTCAGACTTTTAGAAATCTCTTCTATTTAACCCTCAAGTTTCATTTACTTTACTTTTTTTTTTTTTTGAGTCACAGTCTTACTCTGTTGCCCAGGCTGGAGTGCAGTGGCATCAGCTCGGCTCACTGCAACCTCTGCCTCCCGGGCTCAAGTGATTCTTTTGCCTCAGCCTCTCAAGTAGCTGGGATTACAGGTGTCTACAACCACACATGGCTAATTTTTGTATTTTTAATAGAGATGGGGTTTCACCATCTCTGTTGCCCAGGCTGGTTTCAAACTCATGACCTCCAGTGATCGGCCTTCCAAAGTGCTGGGATTATAGGCGTGAGCCACCATGCCCGGCCCTCAAGTTTCATTTTCTTTCTTTTTGTTTTTGAGACGGAGTTTCACTCTTGTTACCCAGGCTGGAGTGCAATGGCGCCATCTCAGCTTACCGAAACCTCCACCTCCTGGGTTCAAGCAATTCTCCTGCCTCAGCCTTCCGAGTAGCTGGGACTACAAGCGCACGCCACCATGCCCAGCTAATTTTTGTATTTTTAGTAGAGACAGGGTTTCACCATGTTGACCAGGATGATCTCGATCTCTTGACCTTGGGATCCACCCACCTCGGCTCCCAAAGTGCTGGGATTATAGGCGTGAGCCATTGTGCCCGGCCTTAAGTTTCATTTTCATATCTAATGCCTGTCTCAGAACTTCCTCCCCAGTGTTCCACTCTAACATTTGAGAACTGCCTAAGGACAATTCTGATTTTAAGTCTCATATTTGATCCCAAGTACTCTCCTTCCATTGAAGGGTGTTACTCCCTGCCTTTGTGAACATAGGGTTTAAGAGAAGCAAACTTAAGGAAACCAGCTATTCTCTCAAGCCACTCTGTGCCTCCAGCCCTAATAGAAAGAATACTGTCGATAAATCAGCATCTTGCTCAATTGGTGGGGTTTAAATGGTCTTAAAATTTTCTCAGGTGAAAAATTACCATAATTTTGTGCTCATGGCAGATTTCAAAGGGAGACTTGAAGCAGAAAATCTTTAAGGGAACCTTGCACAGCCAGAAGCCCTATTCAGGCTGATGTACATAAAATACTGAGTAGCCAGGACAGTGGAAGGACTGAAGAGTGAGAAGCGCTCCCAGGGTCTGGAAAGCTCATTCTTGGGGCCCTGTGGCTCTGTACCTGTGGCTGGCTGTAATCAGTAGTGGCTGTGGGGGATCTGGGGTATCAGGTAGGTGTCCAGCTCCTGGCACTGGTAGAGTGCTACACTGTCCAACACCCACTCTCGAGTCACCACAGGCGCCTCACACATCTGCCCAATTGCTGGGGACAGAGAACACAAGCAAAGATTAGTGTCAATTCACATTCTCCTGGACCAGGCTTTAATCAATCTACTCCAGGGTCCTGGTTGTATGAGTTCTTAGGATTCATGAGGTAGAAACCAATCTTTTTTATTTTTTGAGATGGAGTCTCGCTCTTGTCACTCAGCCTGGAGTGCAATGGTGCAATTTTGGCTGACTGCAACCTCCACCTCCTGGGTTCAAGTGATTCTCCTGTCTCAGCTTCCCAAGTAGCGGGGATTACAGGCACCAGCCACCATGCCCGGCTAATTTTTTTTTTTTTTTGGGTATTTTTAGTAGAGATGGGGTTTTGCCATGTTAGCCAGGCTGGTCTCAAACTCCTGACCTCAGGAGAATCCACTGAACCCAGAAGGCAGAGGTTGCAGTGAGCCAGATTACTCCAGCCTGGGTAACAGTGAGACGCTGAAGCCCAAGGAGTGACTGCTGGTGAAAGCCCCCAGCCTCTGGCAACTGTATTAACATGAACTTCAATCTGTTAAAGGAAAGCCACCAGGAAAACAGCAATGTAATTTAATGATGTGGAAATATATATGTAATATCTTAAGGAAAAAAGCACAACAGTATAATTATCACATTTTATAAAATACACACACACACACACATATATAGGCACATATAGCTGGTAGAATTCTATGGTGATCATCTCTAAGTGGTGGAATTACTGGGATTATTTTATTGTTTTTGTGCAAATTTATACTTTCTTTTTTCTTTCTGAGACACGGTCTCACTCTGTCGCCCAGGCTGGAGTGTACTGGTGTGATCATGGCTCACTGCAGCACTGACCGCTTGGGCTCAAGGGATCCTCCCACCTCAGCTTCCCAAGTAGCTGAAACTTGCACCATCACACCCAGGTAGTTTTTAAATTTTTTGTAGAGATGAAGTCTCCCTATGTTGCTCAGGCTGGTTCTGAACTCCTAGGCTCCTTGGCCCCCACATTGGCCTCCCAAAGTGCTGGGATTATAGGTGTGATCTACCATGCCTGGCCTTGATTTATATTTTCTGTGATGAACATTCATATCCAACCCCCACCCCATGGGAACAGTTCATGTATTACTTTTACAATATAAAACAAACAACAATAAAAATGCCAACAAGACATTTTAGCCGTTAATTAGACAAATATTTAAAATGTGCCAAGAACTGTGCTATTCAAGCACCAGGTAATGAGTGGCAAACCAAACCCATGCAAAAGGACCCATATAACACAGGCACATGCAAGCACCTTACCATGTAAGCCGTTGTCCTCTGTCCAGGCATCTGGCTGCACAACCACAACTGCGTGGATACCCTGCATCCCCAGGAAGGAAACAGCATTGAAGTGTCAGAGCAGGACTATTGGAACTGTCACTTCATCGTTTTTTTTGAGACAGGGTCTTGCTCTGTTGTCCAGGCTGGAGTGCAGTGGTATGATCGTCAGCTCACTGCAACCTCTGCCTCCTGGGCTTAAGTGATCCTTCTACCTCAGCCTCCCAGGTAGCTGGGACTACAGGTGTGCGCCACTGCCCCTGGCTAATTTTATTTTATTTTTTTAGGGACGGGGTTTCACCATGTTGGCCAGGATGGTCTTGATCTCCTGACCTTGTGATCCACCTGCCTCAGCCTCCCAAAGTGCTGGGATTACAGGCGTGAGCCACAGCGCTCAGCAATTTTTTTGTATTTTTGGTAGAGATGGGGTTTCGCCATGTTGCCCAGGCTGGTGTTGAGGTCCTAGGCTCAAGTGATTCTCCCACCTTGGTCTCCGAAAGTGTTGGGATTATAGGTGTGAGGCACTGAGCCCAGTCCATCATTTTTTTCTCTTTTTTTAGATGAAGTCTCACTCTGTCACCCAGGCTGGAGTGCAGTGGTGCAATCTTGGCTCTTCTCATGCCTCTGCCTCCCAAGTAGCTGGGATTACAGGCATGCTCCACCAGACCCAGCTAATTTTTGTATTTTTTTAGTAGAGACAGGGTTTCACCATGTTGGCAAGGTTGGTCTAAAACTCCTGACCTCAAGTGATCCACCTGCCTTGGCCTCCCAAAGTGCTGGGGTTACAGGCATGAGCCACCATGCCCGGCCTCCAGCCCATCATTTCTTGATAATTTGTTGAAACATGGTATGCTGGGGGAGTACAGAGAGTACAGTAGGAGGGGGATATGCAAAAAGAGTTAGAGGGAAAGGGCCTTCCCTCAGTATATTTAGTATGTGCCCCTATGCATCCCTTATAGACTTGAGAACTGCACATATTAAATATACTTCTGGCCCAGGTACGTGGGGAGAGAAGGCTTCTGAGGCTACAGTAGGGGCTTCCATAGGGACTGATAGGTGCCAGTCTTGCTCAATCACAGGAGAGAACATTGTGTCCTCCCTCTCTGACAGGGCACCCAGTACTTACTGTGCCAAGGGTGAATGATGAAAGCTCCTTCACCACAGAAGCCCCACACAGCTGCACCATCCACTCCAGTTGATCTGAACAGGACATTTAGATGTAAAATCACCACAGTAATCTGTGTACTTATCCCAGGCCCTCTGCCCTACACTCTCTGGATGAAGGCTTATAGCAAGACCTCTCAGTGGGAGAGTCTGTCTCTCTGCTCCAAAGGACGACAGTCTTAAAATAGTAGGGGTATGAATTTTAAGTCAATTTGCCACTGACATGCTGCATACCCTCGTTATCAGTCTCCATATGGCCAATTGGTAGATAAGGTTTGATAGTCTCTCAAATAAAATGCTTGAAAGAAAAAAAAAAAAAACGATTGAAGATCTAATTTCCATTAATTTGCTAAATTGCTGGCTAAGATACTGTGAAAAAACACCCACCTTCTTTTGCTCCCTTCCTCCCTGCATCCTAATTCTGTGTTGGTAGTTGATAATCACAGCCACTGAAAATATCATACTTGGTGATAATTACTGTGAATGTCAAGAGATGGGAAGATAATTCATCCAGTCAAAAAAAAAATACACATCATCCTGGTTAGAGACACAGCAGGGAAAGGTTACATGCTGAGCTGGAATCCATATACTCAGGGGAATAGAAATCAGAAGAGACTGTGGAGATTTCACCAATCTGAGGAACCCCCATTGGGGGATCTTGCTTCTAACACTCCACTATGTAAGACAAAGGCTAGTGCTGGAACTCTGCAGTCCTCCCAGGCTCTTACCTGTGGGCATATTGGTAAACGGCCCATAGCAACATATTTCCAGGCCCCTGAAGATCTGGAAGAGGAAGAGAGAGGGACAGGGGAATGGAGAGAAAGAAAATTTAGTTATAAAAGAATTGGCTTTTATTCAAAAAATAGACTTTCAAAAAGGAAGAGCTTTTCTTTTTCTTTTGTTCACCACCTGATGATTTCTGCTGTTACTTCCCAGGGACAAGCAGTCCAATGTCCAGAACACTAAGGGATTTCAGAAGACCTTTTTGAAGTACATATGTAGTTGACCAGCACTCTTCCAGCATTCTTTGTCATTCAAGGACTGAGCATCTCACTTAGTCACCAATCAGGCCCAGGCTCCTCCCTAATGATCTCTGCAGGTGCTTTAATTTGTTAGATGCAAAGGAAAAATAAGGTCCTTCTGTATGTTTAATAAAAGGTTTGGATGGCTAGAAATTCAAAGCTAGTGGCTGAAGTTTGATGTTTATCCAGACTTAGTATCTCAATACTCACCATGACTCCATCAGCAGAGGAGTCCATGTTGATTTTAGATGTACATGCTCCTTGTCTCCTGACTTTCTTCTAGCCCCCCAAACACCTGTTCTTCACACTAATCTGAGAATGGCCATTGCATCTTTAGGCCACCTAAGCAGTTTTTAAACTAGAAGTGAAGCCAGGTTCTGCCTCTCCTAATTGAACTGGTCTGACTGCCTGGCTTCCTGAAGACACAGATCACACCACAGCTCCTTTTTCACTTACAGGTCTTGGCAACACTGTTCAAAAGAACTTTCTGTGATAGTCAAAATGTTCTATATCTGTGCTAATAAGGTAGCCATGAGTCACATACAGTTATTGAGCACTGGAGATGTGGTAAGGGTGAACGAGGAACTAAACTTCACATTTTAATTCTTTTCTTTGACAGGATGAGGTCTCATTCTGTCACTCAGGCTAGAGTACAGTGGCATGACTATAGATTGCTACAGCACTGAACTCCTGGGCCCAAGTAATCCTCCCACCTCAGCCTCCTAAGTACCTGGGACTACAGGTGCATACCACCACGATTGGCTGATTTGTAAAAATTTAAATTTACAGTCCCATGTGGCTGGTGGCAACAGTGTGGGACAGTACAAATTATCATATATACATTGGGATAAGTTCTTAGCAAAGAACTTGGATATCACTTAAAAATAAACCCTGCTGGGTGTGGTGGCCGACATCTGTAATCCCAGCACTTTGGGAGGCCAAGGGAGACAGATGACCTGAGGTCAGAAGTTCTAGACCAGCCTGACCAATATGGAGAAACCCCGTCTCTACTAGAAACACAAAATTAGCCAGGCGTGGTGGCACATGCTTGTAATCCCAGCTACTGGGGAGGCTGAGGCAGAAGAATTGCTTGAACCCGGAAGGCAGAGCTTGGGGTGAGACGATTTCATGCCATTGCCCTCTAGCCTGGGCAACAAAAACAAAACAAAAACAAAAAACAAACCCCCCCCCCAATAAACCCTACATTTGTATCATTTGGAAGGATATGTTTTGGGTAACTCTCAGTCTCTTGACCCTCTTCCTACCTTTCCATTTCAATAAAAAGAAAACTGCCAAGGCCTAAAATCCAGCTGGCCTCAAAGAGACTGCGATAGAGAAAAATCAGGAAGGTAAAAAAAATACACAGATGGCTTCTTAGAAAGTGGCCACCCTCCCCACTGACAGACAGACAGACAGACAGACACACACACACACACACACACACACACACACACACACACACACACACACTTTACAGCCAGAGGGAAAAGAAAGGAGAGCAGGACAAATCTGTTTGTTTTAAAGGACAGCATCCACCTGTGCCACTCTACTATCTGTATGAATTCAGGACCTGCATGCTCCTAATGCTAGACATTCTCCCTTGGCAGCTGGCTGGAGCCAAATGGTGACATGGTAAGTACAAAAGAGGCTGGGTGCAGTGACTCAAACCTGTAATCCCAGCATTTTGGTAGGCTGAAGCAGGCGAATCACAAGGTCAAAAGATAGAAACCATCTTGGCCAACAGGGTGAAACCCCGTCTCTACTAAAAATACAAAAATTAGCTGGGCATGAGGACACACGCCTGTAAAACTCAAGAGGCCGAGGCAGGAGAATCACTTGAACCCAGGAGGCGGAGGTTGCAGTAAGCCGAGATCATGCCACTGCACTCCAGCCTCGTGACAAAGTGAGACACTGTCTCAAAAAAAAAAAAAGGGTACAAAAGATTGGGAATGTATCCAGGCTAACACTCAGTGATGAGGATGTCTAGTTATGAGATAAGAAATTTGAAGTTTCACCTCTACATGTATGTTTCTCTTCCAGAGGAAAATACTATGGTGACATTCCGTATCTTCAGAATGTCATTACTTTGATCACATACTTCCCATTATTGCTATTCTGCATGGAGGAAAAACTCCAAAGCACTAGATTTTCTTTTTAAAGAAGGGAAGAATCTGGTGCTAATACTGTATAGCATACAGTGGAGTAAAAACAGAGGACTGGCTCACATGGAACTCCCCTGTGGTAAACGAAAAGCAGTAATAAGGCCAGCAGCTTTTCTTGGCATCTGGAACAATTACTTGATAGGCTCAGAAGATAAGAACAGGCTGACCTCAAGAGTTCAAAACGCCAGGCTTGATTTGTGATCATGCCCAAAGCAGTTTTCCTTAGGAAATTACCTCTACTGGTTCCCTCTTAAGTTTCTATGAAGGGACAGAAAGTGTTTGGTGGAAAGATGTTTCGTTTTGTTTTGAGACAAGGTCTCACAATGTTGCCCAGGCTGGAGTGCAGTAGCTCGATTGTGGCTCATTACAGCCTCGACCTCCCAGACTCAAGCACTCTTCTCACGTTAGCCTCCTGAGTAGCTGGGAACAAAGGAATGTGCCACAACATCCAGCTAATTTTTAAATTTTTTCACAGAGACAAGGTCTCACTATGGTACCCAGTCTAGTCATGAACTCCTGGGCTCAAGGGATCCTCCTGTCCTGGCCTCCCAAAGTGCTGGGATTATAGGCGTGAGCCACTGCACCCAGCTAGGATGTTCTGAAATGCCTGGTAGGGCACACATGAAAAAAGAGGAAAAGCAGACTGGGAACACAGCACCTAGTCAGTGAGCTGAGAAAGCAGCCAGCTCAGGCCTGACAGGTAGGTGTGAAATCCTGCAGAGTTCTCCCTGAGAGGAAGTCATAGTTCTGCCTATGTCATCTGCTACAATATGATCTGGACAAAGTCATTGAATCTTCTTGGGTCTCATTTCCAAAGTTGTTAGAATATTCTATTTTTTTTTTCTTCTGTGAAGCCCTTCAACAACTTTTCAAGAAACTATGGTATTATCATTAAGAGTTTAGACTTGGAGGCTGGGTGCAGTGGCTCATGCACTTTGGGAGCCCAAGGCAAGTGATCACTTGAGACTAGGAGTTCAAGATCAGCCTGGCTGACAGGGCAAAACCCCCTCTCTAATAAAAATATAAAAGTTAAGGCAGGGAGCAGTGGCTCACCCCTGCTATCCTAGCACTTTGGGAGGCTAAGGCAGGCGGATCATCTGAGGTCAGGAATTCGAGACCAGCCTGGCCAACGTGGTGAAACGCTGTCTCTACTAAAATTACCAAAAAATTATCTGGGTGTGGTGGGACACACCTGTAATCCCAGATACTTGGGAGGCTGAGGCATGAGAATTGCTTGAACCCAGGAAGCAGAGGCTGCAATGAGCTGAGATTGTGCCACTGCACTCCAGACTGGGCAACAGAATGAGACAAAAAATTAGCTGGGTGTGGTGGTGCATGCCTGTAATCCTAGCTATAGCAGGCTGAGGCACGAGAATTACTTAAACTTGGGAGGTAGAGGTTGCAATGGGTAGAGATAGTGCCACTGTACTCCAGTATGGGTGACAGAGCAACACTCTGTCTCAAAAAATAAATTAACAAAGAGTTTAGATTTGGAGCTAGACTTCCTGAGTTCAACTTCTAGTTCCATCATTTACTAGCTGTGTGACTTTGGGCAACTTATTCAACCTCTCTGAGCCTCAATTTTCTCATCCAGAATATAGGCATAATTATAGTACATACTTCATAGAGTTGTCGTAAAATTGTTAATTAGTTAAAACATGGCTGAACCTTTAGAGCAGTCCCTGGCATACGGTGATCTATTTTTTTTGAGACCTTCTCTCTGTTATCCAGGCTAGAGTGTAGCGATGCAATCTCGGTTCACTGCAACCCCCACCTCTTGAGCTCAAGAGATCCTCCCAACTCAACCTTCCAAGTAGCTGGAACTACAGGTACATGCCACCAAGCCCTGTTGCCTAGGGTATTGAACTCCTCAGCTCTAACGATCTTCCTACCTCAGCTTCCCAAAGTGCTGGGATTACAGGAATGAGCCACTGTGCAGGCCTAGTGAGCATTATATAAATTTTAGTTTTAGCTATTATGAATCACTTCCTCTTCTTTTGTTTCCACAGAGAGCGCTGTGCATGCCCTGCTCACAGCATTTATCATACTGTTTTAGATAAAGACATCCCGGGCTGGACATGATGGCTCACGCCTGTTAATCTTAGCACTTAGGGAGGCTGAGGTGGGGGATCACCCGAGGTTAGGAGTTCAAGACCAGTCTGGCCAACACAGCGAAACCCTACTAAAAATATAAAAAATTAGCCCAGTGTGGCAGTGCTCTCTACTAAAAATATGAAAAATTAGCCCAATGTGGTAGTGTGTGCCTGTAATCCCAGTTACTCGAGAGGTTGAGGCAGGAGAATTGCTTGAACCTGGGAAGCGGAGTTTTCAGTGAGCTGAGATCATGCCACTGCACTCCAGCTGGGTGACAGAGTGAGACTCCATCTCGGGGGGAAAAAAAAATAGAGAGAAAGATACCCTGATGAAGTGAAAAGAGCAAAGGCTTTAGATTCCCATCGGCTTAAAGTCCCAGCTCTTCTACTTATCAGCTGAGATCTGAACCCCAGATAGGAATCCAAATTACACAGCCTCTCTAAATCTCTTAGTTTTATCATTCATAAAGTAGAGACAATACTTATTTACGTGGTTGGGTCGGAAAAGTGAAAAAATAACCTGTGTGAAAGTACCTAGCAGTGTGTATGTATGTAACAAGCCTTACAAGATGAAGTGAACCATCTCAAGAAAGGGGACTGGAATACAGAGTGGTAGGATCAGATTTTTGTCAACTTGAGGGAGGGAGCTTTACCTTTCTGCCCTGGGATTCTCTTGCTCGTCTTGGACCTTGGTGGTTTCTTCCATTGACCACATCTCCTCTGACTTCAAAATCATGCTGAAAGAAAACAAACACAAACCATCAGGATCAGAGAAAAAGAAGCTTCCTTCAATGGAAGTGGAGCAGACTCGTCATATTCAAGGCATTCAAGCCAGGTGTGGTGGCTCATGACCTGTAATCCCAGCATTTTGTGAGGCTGAGGCAGGTGGATCACTTGAGGTGAGGTGTTTGAGACCAACCTAGCCAACATGGTGAAACTCCATCTCTACTAAAAAAAAAAAATACAAGGCTGGGAGCGGTGGCTCACGCCTGTAATCCTAGCACTTTGGAAGGCTGAGGCAGGTGGATCATTTGAGGTCAGGAGTTCAAGACCAGCCTGGCCAACATGGTGAAAACTTGTCTCTACTAAAATACAAAAAATTAGCTGGGTGTGGTGGTGGGTGTCTGTAATCCCAGCTACTTGGAAGGCTGAGGCAGGAGAATTGCTTGAACGTGGGAGGCGGAGGTGGCCATGAGCCAAGATCTCTCCACTGCACTGCAGCCTGGGTGACAGAGTGAGACTCTGTCTCAAAAAAATAAATTAGGCCAGGTGAAGCACTTTGGGAGGGTGAGGTGGGCAGATCACAACGTCAGGGGTTCAAGACCAGTCTGGCCAACATGGTGAAATCCTGTCTCTACTAAAAATACAAAATTTAGCTGGGCATTGTAGCACATGCCTGTAATCCCATCTACTTGAGAAGCTGAGGCAGGAGGATAGCTTGAGACCAGGAGCTCGAGACCCATCTGGGCAACACAGTGAGACCCCTTCTCTACAAAAGATATATAAAACTTCAACTAGGCACAGTTGTGTGTGCCTGCAGTCCCAATTTCTTGGGAAGCTGAGGCTGGAGGATCACTTGAGCCCAACAGTTGAAGGCTGCAGTGAACTTGATCACACGACCTCACTCCTGACTGGGTAACAAAGTGAGACCCTGCTTAAAAAAAAAAAGGAAAGGAAGAAAGAAAGGAAGAGAGAGAGGGCTGGGTGTGGTGGCTCAATCCTATAATCCCAGCACTTTGGGAGGTGGAGGCAGGCAGATCACCTGAGGTCAGGAGTTTGAGACCAGTCTGCCCAACAGGGTGAAACCCTGACTCTACTGAAAATTATCTAGGCCTGGTGGCGGACGCCTGTAATCTCAGCTACTCGGGAGGCTGAGGCAGGAGAATCACTTGAACCCAAGAGGTGGAGGTTGCAGTAAGCTGAGAAAATGCCCTGGGTGACAAGAGTGAGAAACTCCATCTCAAAAAAAAAAAGAAAAAGAATTTGCTGGGCAGAGATTTGACCAAAAGCAAGTAAAATCATTCTATTTGGTAGACCAGGTGAAATGACCAGGATCTCAGCTGTTGAAATCATTCACTGAAGCATATCTTTGTGTGCAGAAATTAACAATTGGCTTTTCACCTCACTGGGACTTGACGTATTTTAATTTTCAACATTTATCTTCTCTCAAACATTCACTTAGCATTTAGATTAAACTGCTAATACAGCGCTGTTATAAAGATAACAGATAAATTCCCTATCTTCTATATCAATTGTAATATTATCATTTAAAGAAATAAAGGCTTTTCAAATTTCCACCGAGAGATTTACACAGTTAACAGAACCAAAATAATAAAACATACATTTAATATACTGAAGAAAGTTAGAGTTTTTCATAATCACTATTATGAGAGGTCATGGACATGAGAATGAAGAATAATGAGACTGGGGAGAAATTTGAGGAAGAATGCTTAGAAACAATTCTGACCGAAACTCAGATTGTAGGGAAGGCCACATGTGTTGCTAAGAGTTTTGTGAAGAAAAATAAAGTCAAGAGTATAACCACCAGCTATTACTAGGGGAAGAATACCTGATGTTTCCTAGTTACTTGAATGAGGAGTCCAGCGATAAATTTGTCATTTATTTAAAGACTCCCATGTTTATAGTTCTGATTGTATCTGCTTCATACAATGTGTCCAACTGCCTATTTAACCTCTCTATCCAGATGTCTAGTATATATCTCAAAATTCACGCATCTGGCTGGGCACAGTGGCTCACGCCTGTAATCCCAACACTTTGGGAGGCCAAGGTGGGTGGATCACCCAAGGTCAGGAGTTTGAGACCAGCCTGGCTAATATGGTGGGTGCCTGTAATCCCAGCTACTTGAGAGGCTGAGGCAGAACTGCTTGAACCTGGGAGGCAGAGGCTGCAGTGAGCCGAGATTGCACCACTGTACTCCATGCATTCTAGCCTGGGTAACAGAATGAGACTCCATCTCCAAGAAAAAAAAAAGATGAAATAAAAATTCACGCATCTAAAACAGAGTTCCTGATTCCACTCCTGCTTCCTGCCCTTCCCACTCTCCCAAATTCCCTACCATGTCTTCCTTACCTAATTTAATTTAACATTACTAACAAGATCAGGCCAAAACTCAAATGTCACCCCTTCAATTTCTTTTTACCTTATTGTCCAAATTTAATCCATTAGCAAGTCCTATCTTCAAACATATCCCAAACCAACCTGCTTTTTTTAAAACCTCCTCCCTACCACCAATTACCACAAGGATAAAATCTGAATTCCTTACCATGGCTCACACTAAATACTACGTGATTTGGCTGTCATCTATGATCGTCTCCCATTCCTTGTCTAATCTCTGCCCCCATACATAATTTGGCTACACTGGCCTATCTTTTATTATTATTATTTTTTGAGACAGAGTCTTGCTCTGCCACCCAGGCTGGATGGAGTGCAGTAGCACAATCTTGGCTCACTATAATCTACCTCCTGGGTTCAAGTGATTCTCCTGCTTCAGCCACCCAAGTAACAGGGATTACAGGCTCATGCCACCACCCCCAGCTAATTTTTGCTTTTTTTTTTTTGAGACGGAGTCTTACTCTGTTGCCTAGGCTGGAGTGCACTGGCATGATAGTTCTTTGCAACCTCTGCCTCCCAGGTTCAAGCAGTTCTCCTGCCTCAGCCTCCCGAGTAGCTGGGACTACAGACGCCCTCCATGCCTGGCTAATTTTTGTATTTTTAGTAGAGATGGGGTTTCACCATATTGGCCAGGCTGGTCTCAAATTCCTGACTTTGTGATCTGCTTGCCTCGGCCTCCCAGAGTGCTGGGATTACAGGCGTGAGCCACCGCCTGGCCTAATTTTTGCTTTTTTTTTTTTTTTGAGACAGAGTCTTGCTCTGTTGCCAGGTGCCAGGCTGGAGTACAGTGGCATGATCTTGGCTCACTGCAACCTCCACCTCCTGGGTTCAAGCAATTCTCCTGACTCAGCCTCCTGAGTAGCTGGGATTACAGACGCATGACACCACACCCGGCTAATTTTGTATTTTTTTTTTTAGTAGAGACGGGGTTTCACCATGTTGGCCAGAATCGTCTCGATCTCTTAACCTAGTGATCTGCCCGCCTCGGCCTCCCAAAGTGCTGAGATTACGGGCGTGAGCCACCGTGCCCGACCAATTTTTGTGGTTTTAAAAAGAGATGGGGTTTTGCTACATTGGCCAGGCTAGTCTTGGGCTCCTGACCTCAGGTGATCCGCCTGCCTCAGCCTCCGAGAGTGCTGAGATTACAGGCATGAGCCACCATGCCTGGCCCTTTTATTATTATTTGAGATGAGAGTCTTGCTCTGTCATCCAGGCTGGAGTGCAGTGCAATCCTGGATCCCTGCAGCCTCCCCCTCCCAGGTTCAAGCAATATTCCTACCTCGGCCTCTGGAGTAGCTGGGATAACAGCCACATGCCACCATGCCTGGCTAGTTTTTTTTTTTTTTTTAATACAGTCTTGCTCTGTCACCCAGGCTGGAGTGCAGTGGCATGATCTCAGCTCACTCTAGCCTCCACCTCCTGGGTTCAAGCGATTCTCTTGCCTCAGCCTCCCAAGTAACTGGGACTACAGTCTCGTGCCACCACACCTGGCTAATTTTTTGTATTTTTAGTAGAGTTAGGGTTTTACCGTGTTAGCCAGGATGATCTTGATCTCCTGACCTTGTGATCTGCCAATCTTGGCCTCCCAAAGTGCTGGGATTATAGGCATGAGCCACTGCACCTGGCTTAGTTTTTTATATTTTTGGTAGAGGTGGCAGCATGAGCTACCATGCCTGGCCAACACTGGCCTATCTTTTAAAAATAAATCAAGCTCTGGCCAGGCGTGGCAGTGGTTCATGCCTGTAATCCCAGGAGGCTGAGAGAGGTGGATCACTTGAGGTCAGGAGTTTCAGACCAGGTTGGTCAATAGGGTAAAACCCCACCTCTACCAAAAATATAAAAATCTAGCCGGCATGGTGGCACATGCCTGTAATCCCAGCTAGTCGGGAGACCAAGGCAGGAGAATCGCTTGAACCCAGGAGGCGGAGTTTGCAGTGAGCCAAGATTGTGCCACTGCACTCCAGCTTGGGGTATGCAGTGAGACTCCGTCTCAAAAAAAGAAAAAGCAAAAATAAAAAAACCAAGCTCCTTATTATCACAAGACCTTTATGTTTTGCTATTCCACTGTCTATAACATACATTCCCTCCAGTTTTCAAGGACAGTTCTTTCTTGTTATTTAGGTCTCAGCTCAATCTTTTCAGAAAGGCCTTCCTTGGCCTCCTTAAACGAAAGTAATCAACAACCTTTATTGCTATCTTAATTCATCTTTATTGTGTATCTCCCCTCAATAGAACCTGAATCCTACCAGGGACTTAGTTAGTCTCGTTTGTTGCTGTATTCCTAGTGCCCAGCACACAGTAGGCTCACATAAATAGCCATTGAATAAAAGTTAAAACCAACACAAATATCATTTAATTATGAATATATTGAACTGTGTATAATAGTTTATAAAATTATTTTCACATTTTATTTTGCCTGATCTGTTGTTAGAGAAGCTCTCAGATGGCTGTTCTAAAATTATTCCTCCTCCTATACTCTATCTTATTTACTTCTCACTGTTCTCAGTATCATAAAGTGCAACATCTTTTTGCAGTAATCTGAATTCTAAACAGATACATTTGCATATATATATGCATATGTGCACACAGAAGTACACCTTTTTTGTTTTTTGAGACGGAGTCTTACTCTGTCGCCAGGCTGGAGTGCAATGGCGCAATCTCGGCTCACTGCAACCTCCGCCTGGGTTCAAGCGATTCTTCCGCCTCAGCCTCCCGAGTAGCTGGGACCACAGGCGTGTGCCACCACGCCTGGCTAATTTTTGTATTTTTAGTAGAGACGGGGTTTCACCATGGCCAGGATGGTCTCGATCTCTTGACCTCGTGATCCACCCGCCTCGGCCTCCCAAAGTGCTGGGATTACAGGCGTGAGCCACCGCGCCTGGCCTTTTTTTTCTTTTTTTTTTTTTTTAAGAGATAGGGTCTTCCTCTGTCACCCAGGCTAGAGTGCAGTGGCATGATCATAGCTCACTGCAGCCTTGAACTCCTGGGCTCAAGTGATTCTCCCAGCTTAGCTTCCTCAGTAGCTAAGGCTACAGGTGCACACTTCCATGCCTGGCTAATTAAAAAAATTTTTTTTGTGTGTAGACAGTCTCACTCTGTTGCCCAGGTTGGTCCCAAACTCCTGGCCTCAAGCAATCCTCCTGTCTCAGCCTCCCAAAGTGCTGCACCTGGACTGCATATTAATATGAAGTATTTTTCCTCAACAGTGAATGGTTTGTTTTTTACAAAGGTATATGTAAGTGGGCCTACTTCTTGTCCTTATGAATCTTTTTTTCCCCTTCCCTTTTCCCCAAAGAAGGACTGTTTCTTTTGAAATCTAGAACAAATGAGAACACAGAATATCCTGGTTTGCTCCAAATAATTACTGATGATCCCCATAATCAAAGAAAATTTGTGCCTTATCAAGGAAAGTGGTGCATTGATGGAAGAAAGCAAATACTTTTTTTTTTTTTTTTTTTTTTTTTTGAGACGGAGTTTCGCTCTTGTTACCCAGGCTGGAGTGCAATGGCGCGATCTCGGCTCACCACAACCTCCGCCTCCTGGGTTCAGGCAATTCTCCTGCCTCAGCCTCCTGAGTAGCCGGGCTTATAGGCACGCGCCACCATGCCCAGCTAATTTTTTGTATTTTAGTAGAGACAAGATTTCACCATGTTGACCAGGTTGGTCTCGATCTCTTGACCTCGTGATCCACCCACCTCGGCCTCCCAAAGTGCTGGGATTACAGGCTTGAGCCACCGCGCCCGGCCCGCAAATACATTTTTAACTATGACTCAATGACACCATGTCTCTGATTAGTTTGTAACATCAAGTACTTACCTCATTCAGCATTTTTCTTTCTTTAATAGACTGGGTCACCCCTAAGGAGATCACAGAAAAGACAGGTTACATACAGCAGAAGAATGTGCTCTTTTCATGGAGATGGAGAGGTCAGCGATTCACAAAAGAATGACAGAGGTCCTTTCCTTCGAAAGCCACAGCCCTTTAATAAGGCTTCTAGCAGCAGTTTCCTTCTGGAGACACAGTTGATGTTTAATTTAAACATTGTAAGTTTGACTGCTGCACATGGATTCCTGCCGACTATTAAATAAATCCCTAGTTCCTATGTTAACATTGCTAGGAGCAGATTATGTTCTATTAGTTATAAAAGAGACCCATTTTCCCAGAATCAGCAGCTTATCTGAACAAAGTGATATGTATTAAAGATAAAGGTAGTTTTGTGTTACCATTAAAGACCTTTTGGTAATTCAATCTCAGCATCAGCAAAAACCTTAGGTGTTAAAATGTTAGGTGTAAAAATGCAATTCTAAGGTGTTAAAGGGAGGAAGGGACAAATAGTATTGTACTTACAGAAATAGCTAACTACCCATTTTCCTCCTGCAATTCCCAGAAAGTATTTCAGTGTCCGTTCACACACAAACTCAGCATCTGCAGAATGAAAAACATCCAAAGGATTAGAAGTTGAAAACATATTCAGGAAGTGCTGTCTTAAGAAGCTAAAGTGCCTCCAAGCACTTTGGAGGCCAAGGTGGGCGGATCACCTGAGGTCAGGAGTTCAAGACTAGCCCAACCAACATGGTGAAACCCCGTCTTTAAAAAAAAAAAAAAAAGCTAAAGTGTCTCAGCTTCTTACACTCCCAGGATCAATCTGGATTTGTTTCTAAAATCCTGGTGACAGAATCAGACACTGAAAACACCACTAATTTTTTTTTTTTGTTTTGAGACAGAATTTTTCGCTCTTGTTACCCAGGCTAGAGTGCAATGGCATGATCTCGGCTCACCGCAACCTCCACCTCCTGGGTTCAGGAAATTCTCCTGACTCAGCCTCCTGAGTAGCTGGGATTACAGGCACACGTCACCATGCCCAGCTAATTTTTTGTATTTTTAGCAGAGACAGGGTTTCACCATGTTGACCAGGATGGTCTCGATCTCTTGACCTCGTGATCCACCCGCCTCGGCCTCCCAAAGTGCTGGGGTTACAGGCTTGAGCCACTGCGCCTGGCCTAACACCACTAATTATAACCAGCAGGTGTGGATCTTTGGAAGCCTAGGAGAGGCTGATATGAAGACCAGAGGAAACGTCTGTCAACACTGTCTCCCCAACACCCATCTTCTAGATGCTAAGGCTAGCTATAGATCTCCATTGTAGTGTTCAAGGAATTAGGAATTATCCATGTCAATAGTTTTGAATAATGTGGATGGAGAACATCTGTATTACTAGATGGTAATATGTAAAAGGAGAAGAAAACAGTATTGTTGAAAACCTAAAGCTGAAATATCAATGTAATGACAATTTTTTTACCCCTAGAATGTCCAATCTGGGGAGTCCTAACCCTCTAATATTCCCCTGAGAGGGATAGGAGAATACAGCGTTTTCAGAGCTTCTGTAAAAGTATTTCAGAAAGCAGCAGCTAAAGAATCACTTGTTTATTTCCTAGTGTTTTAAAGGGGCTTCTAAAGAACTAAGCAAACTAAGAAAAGACCATTTAATTTTAAACAGGAGAAATGTATTTAATAATCCTAAACACAGTAGGCTATCTGCAAGCAGTAGCAGCAGCCATTCTCCCTCACAGAATTCCTTACAATTTTTGAAGTTTTTTGCTTAACTGCTATAAAATCCGATTTAATAATATATATGTGTGTATGTGTGTGTGTGTGTATGTGTGTATATATATGTTTTATTTTTTTGAGACGCAGTCTTGCTCTGTCGCCAGGCTGGAGTATGGTGGCACCATTTTGGCTCACTGCAACCTCCGCCTCCTGGGTTCAAGTGATTCTCCTGCCTCAGCTTCCTGAGTAGCTGGGACTTCAGGCGCGTGCCACTACTCTCAGCTAATTTTTTGTATTTTTAGTAGAGATGGGGTTTCATAATGTTGGCTAGGATGGTCTCAATCTCCTGACCTCGTGATCTGCTCACCTCAGCCTCCCAAAGTGCTGGGATTACAGACGTGAGCCACTGCACCCAGCAATATATATTAAACTTAAAAATTTAGCTCATCTTTAGGTCAAAAGTAGCAAATGTTATACCGCCTTTGAGTTTAAAGACTGAACTACTTTAGATTTAGTTTACATTTTAAAGTTTTCTATTTTTCTTTTTTTTTTTTGAGACAGAGTCTTGCTCTGTCGCCCAAGCTGGAGTGCAATGACACAATCTCGGCTCACTGCAACCTCTGCCTCCCGGCTTCAAGCGTTTCTCCTGCCTCAGCCTCCTGAGAAGCTGCAAGTACAGGTGCATGCCATTATGCCCGACTAATTTTTTATATTTTTAGTAGAGATGGGGTTAACCAGGATGGACTTGATCTCATGACCTTGTGATCCGCCCGCCTCAACCTCCCAAAGTGCTGGGATTATAGGCCTGAGCCACCATGCCTTACCTCTATTTTTTTTTTTCACCCAGGTTGGAGTACAGTGGTGCGATCTCGGCTCACTGCAACATCTGCCTCCCAGGTTCAAGCAATTCTCCTGCCTCAGCCTCCTGAATAGCTGGGGTTATAGTCCTGTGACACCACATCTGGCTAATTTTTGTATTTTTAGTAGAGATAGAGTTTTGCCATATTGGTCAGGCTGATCTTGAACTCCTGACCTCATGATCTACCTGCCCTGGCCTCCCAAAGTGCTGAAATTACATGAATGAGCCACGGCACCCAGCCTATCCTCCAAATTTTAACCCAAAACAAAAAAGGGTAAGGAAACAGCAAAACTATTATTTGTCTTTCATAAAGTAATTGATTATTAGAAGACTATCATCCATGCTATGCTTAATAACTATTCTAATTTTTTCATGTGGTTTTATGCAGCAGATACAAAGTATTCTGTTATAGTTCTTGGTATACCTGTTTTCATAACAACATGAGTAGTCTCTTCAGTAATTTGATTAGTCAAAGTGATGTGGTGTTGTCTGGCAAACTTGTACATGGGCACCTGAAATTAAATCAAATATTCCATTATCATAAGTTACCTCTAGTACACAGATTAGAATACTCATCATCCTACCATAGCACACATTTACCTATGTAATAAACCTGCACATTCGGCACATATATCCCAGAACTTACAAAGTAAAAAAAAAAACACTAATTATCCTAGCTTTTAGTCTCCATTTTTCTCAGAAAGGGTACATTTAAAAAATTCTAAGATGCTTGAAGTCTCAAATAGTTTAATAAAAATTATGTACAATCAGCAGACGTAGAATTACAGCTAAGTATTCAAAATAATATTATACACCTACTATGTACCACAAAACTTAAAATAAAAAAATATATATTGGGCCGGACATGGTGGCTCATGCCTGTAATCCCAGCACTTTGGGAAGTTGAGGGGGGAGGACCGCTTGAGCCCAGGAGTTTGAGACCAAGCTCAGCCTGGGCAATACAGTGAGATCTCATGTCTTAAAAAAGTAAAAAGAAAAAATATGTATTAATTTTTCTTTAATAGCAGATATCATTTGATTCCCTAATACAGTTTGTTTGCATAGTGACTCTACTATTAGCTTACACTTTATAAGCTGAGAGGTAGATAGCCTACACAAAAAGTTATGCTACAGACACATATGGATTAAAACCAAGACTCAACCCTCTGACAGTTACAAAACACTGAAATCAAGATGTTACTAAAAGTCAGTGCAAAAGCTATCATTCTCTCATAAGGAGAAGGCTTAGAAGGGGTTCACATTCTTCCCAAAAGAAATGTAGAGTCCTCTAGCTATTATCTATCAACTAAATAAAAATCAATAGGCAGCACAAAAAAAAAAAAAAATCAACTGGATCCATTATGGGCACAGTGACCTAACTGGTAAGTATTATCTGATAAATAACTTTGCTTACCAAGGGCCATCATTTACTAGCGATAGCCACCCACACCAGTGTTTACATGCTGCACAATACTGCCATGAAGGTCAGGCCATCTTTCTTTCATGTTGCCTCACTCCATACTGCCACAGGGCACTGAAATAATGCAGGCTAGAGAAGCTAATGACATCCTCCCCTTTTGCCACCACCCTCTGCCAGGATCATTAGCAATTCTGACCTGATTAATTTCTGAAATCTCAGCCTTGAAACAGTGTTCAGTTAGAAGAGCAATGCTGAAAGCTGAAAGATCATCTTAATATGGGCTTCAGAATTAATCATGTGTAATACAGTCAGTAGCTTTCATCATAAATTTACCACACTTCACCAAGTCTGAATAGAGCTCAAAGTTTTCCTCTTTGCTTGTTTAAAGACAACATGTACCCAAGCCACTAATAGTCTAATCTGCGGCTCAGAATTGCCCTTGGTAAGAAAGATTAGACCATTTCAGACATCTCTCAAAAGCTGAGCTTGCAAAACAAAGGGATAAAGAATGCTAATTTTCAATGAATAAATACAGAATTCTGTAAGTGATCAAGAGCCACTAAACAGACACAGGTAAGAGCTTTCAGAGAAAGTTGTTGTTCTGGACATGGGACTATGAGATGAAAACATTTATAGCCATCACTGTGCATTTACTTGTATCTACCAGGGCAGCCACAGCTTGCTTTGCCCTTTTAGTAGTGGGATACAACTGGCCACAGAGATGTTATACTAAGTCACTACCTACGAAGAAGTTAGGATGAAGAATCCTAGGAAGGATATATTAAGAAAGATATTTCAGAATGACTTGGTCATCTCTCAGTGTGCAATAAATGGCACCCACTACTAAATCCATCTGATACTCTGGTATGTTATCTCACCATAGTTTTAAAGAAATATTCATGCAATTATTTTTGTTATGAAGTGATGCCAATGACAATTAATAGTGGTAAACTTCTCAGGATGTCTGAAATCTACAAAGAGCCCAAGGAGAAATGAGGTATTACTGGTTTTCTATTTTTTTTTTTTTTTTTGAGACAGAGTCTCGCTCTTTGTTCTTTCGCCAGGCTGGAGTGCAGGGGTGTGATCTCAGCTCACTGCAACCTCCGCCTTCCGGCTTCAAGCAATTCTCCTGCCTCAGCCTCCCGAATAGCTGGGATTACAGGCACACGCCACCATGCCAAGCTAATTTTTGTATTTCAGTAGAGACGGGGTTTCACTATGTTGGCCAGGGTGGTCTTGATCTCTTGACCTAATGATCCGCCCGCCTCAGCCTCCCAAAGTGCTGGGATTACAGGCATGAGTCACTGCGCCTGGCTGGTGTTACTGGTCTTAATATTTTAGTGAGTATATTTCCACATTGTGAAGTAATTCCCATTTCTGGCATTAAGGGCCCAAGGTGATGCCAAAATCCTAATAGCAAGGGGTGTTGCAGTGCAGAAGTGACAGGGCAGGCTATTGAATAACTGTCTTACAAGCCAAGATAAAAACAAATACTAGAGAAATGCTACTGTCTGGCAGTACGTTTGGAACCAGTCTGAATTTAGTTAAACATGCTGGTAAGTTCACTCAGATGTGAGCCAAGGGGGGAAAAAAGATGCCTTCTGGGGAATGAAGCTATACCTACTTGCTTTTATAGATAAAAATGAAAATCAAATTCAAAAGTGCTATATCATACCCAAAGTATAGCTTTTCCGCTAATATTTAATAATACATATGGATATACTCACTAATTCTTCTGGGGTCAAGCCTGACACCACCATGGACTTTCTTTTATTGACCCTTTCTGTTGAAGCTGCCAGTTCTGGCTTCTGCCTGCTCACATTTTCTTCCATTGCATTACACCCAGCAGTATTAGTAGTATGAGCAGCAGCTAGACTCTTGGCAGATTCTGCAACTTGAAACTGGGGTACTTTCAATGTAGAGGTTGAAGATGGTATGCTGCCAGCATGGGATGATTCTGGGGCTCTGTCTTCAGAAGGATCAGATTCAGGGTCATCAGAGAAGAGGCTGATTCCAGATTCTAGGTAAGGGGTTCCCTCTGAAAGGAGTGGGAGAAGTTTAATTTACACAACAATGAATGTTGAATTACAAAGTTCTGTTACCTGCTAAGAATTAAAAAGACCAATTAAGTTAGATTAAGAGAAAAAGGGATACGTGAATACAGTGTTGGTGGAAATGCAAAGTAGCTTAATTTCCTAAAAAGGAAATGTGGCATTAGGTAGCAAAAATCTTAACATGTGATTGCACTGCCAGATAATGCTAGTTTTAGAAATATATCCCAGGGAGAGAAAAGATGTATGCAAAGGTGTAGTCATAGGAATGTTCACTATAACACTGCTTATAATAGTATAATTTTAGAAACAATCTGAATGTCCAACAATAGGACATGAAATTATGATATATCTAGTCCAATGGAGTACTCTTCACCCATTAGTTTGAATATAAAAGTTGATGTACAATAAAACAGAAATGTTACTATTGAAGAAGATACCTAAGCAATATTATTTATCATGACATTATTTTAAAAATAAAAGTTTATGTAAAAAGACTGAAGAAACACATTGATATTTTATTATGAAAGAGTAAGAGTACAGGTAATTTTATTTTTTTGAGACAGAGTCTTGGTCTGTCACCCAGGTTAGAGTGCAGGGGCACAAATATGGCTCACCTGCAGCCTTGAACTCCTGGACTCAAGTGACCTTCCTGCCTCAGCCTCCTGACTAGCTGGGACCACATGTGTCTGCCTTCCAGCTAATTTTAACTTTTTTTTTTTTTTTTTAAAAGACAGATTCTCGTTCTGTTACCCAGGCTGGAGTGCAGTGGAGCGATCTCGGCTCACTACAACCTCTGCCTTCGCGGTTCCAGTGATTCTCCTGTCTCAGCCTCCCGAGTAGCTGGGACTACAGGCACCTACCACCACGCCCACCTAATTTTTTTGCATTTTTAGTAAGGATGAGGTTTCACTGTGTTAGCCAGGATGGTCTCGATCTCCCGACCTCGTGATCTGCCTACCTCAGCCTCCCAAAGTGCTGGGATTACAGGCGTGAGCCACTGTGCCTGGTTTAATTTTTTAACTTTCTGTAGAGATCAGGTCTCGTTTCAATGCCTAGGCTGGTCTTAAACTCTTGGCCTCGAGCAGTCCTCCCACCTTGGCCTCCCAAAGTATTGGGATTACAGGCATGAGCCACTGCACCTGGCCTTATTTTATCTTTTAAGAGATATTGGTAAAGTGGCTCACGCCTGTAATCCCAGCACTTTGGGAGGCTGAGGCAGGAAGACCACATGAGGCCAGCAGTTAGAGACCAGTCTGGGCAACACAGCAAGACCCAATCTCTAACCCCCACCCCAAATTATCTTCTTTATTCCCTATATTGTCCAATTTGGGGGCAATGAGCATATAGCAATTTTGTAAGAAAGGAAAAACAGTTGAATAATGTGGCAAATGCTTTATTTTTTGTTTCTTCATCCAAGGTAATGACACCATTATTTTTTTCACTAAATAAATCAACAGATATAATTACCAAATTAAGAACAGCAGAGACCCTGAAACATTTCAGAAAATGTCATGCTATCTATCAGGAATTAAGCACAGCTAAGTAGAATGTATGAGATTCCTAAAATGACCCTAATGAGCATGGCCAAATACCACATTTGATGTCAGTGTCTTTTATGATAATGTGTTTTGGAGGATTAATTAAAAACTTTCTTTATTGATTAAAACTTTGATTTTCAAGCCATAAAACGCCATTCATTAAAAGTGATTTATAAGGCATAAAATACATAGTCATTTACATTCATTAACTCATAAAGAGATTGCTTTGGGATTTGACTCACTTTCCAATAAAGGACCAGCCTAAAACTTTATTCTGTAGCCTTAGGACTCTTGTCTAACAGTTGAAATAAAATATATATGTATTTTTTTGAGACGGAGTCTTACTCTGTCGCCCAGACTGGAGTGTAGTGGTGTGATCTTGGCTCACCACAACCTCCGCCTCCCAGGTTCAAGTGATTCTCCTGCCTCAGTCTACCAAGTGGCTAGGATTACAGGCATACACTACCACACCCAGTTAATTATTTTGTATTTTTAATAGAGACAGGGTTTCACCATGTTGGCAAGGCTGATATTGAACTCCCAACCTCAAGTGATCCACCCACCTTACCTGAAATATTTAGAGCACAACAAGACTCCTTCGTCCTCAAAATTATCAGTTAAACCATTAATTAAAATACAGACGGATTAACAGCTCCAATAATTTTCAAGTAAACCTGGATTAACACGAGTTATTTTTCTAAAATGAGCTGAAGTATAACAAAAGTATCCATGATAGATTAGTACATCTAAAAGTTGGTTAACTAGACTATCTTTATGTAGGATTCAGAGTAAAATCAAAGTGTTTGTTCCACTAGAGCAGATGAAATATTACCTAGATCTTGCCTTGGCAAGTAAGATGGTTCCATCAAATCATGGGGCCCAGACTTATCCAGTTGTTGCTCCTCCACATCAACCTTAATGAGCTCCTCTTGAGATGGGGAGTTTCCATTCTGAAGACTCCCAGAGCAACTGTGCACGCACCACCTATCATCTAATGACTGGCATTTAGAAGGGGATGACCTAGAAAGGTGAATGGAAGGAGAAAACCATCACCACCAATTGTGGAAGGACAAATCATACTTCCTGGGCAGCCAAAGCATAAATGAAATAGCTAGTGTCAGAGAGATCAGAAATGACTGGCAAAAAAGAGCCCACATGACAGCCTAGAAGTCTGGATTCATGTTGCCTGCCAATATGTCACAGTTGACATGTAACATCTCCATAGGGGTTGGGTTGGTCCAAGGCACTGTATCTCCTAGCTGTTTAAAAGCAGGTCAGTTGCTGGGTGTGGTGGCTTGTGTCTGTAATCCCAGCTACTCAGGAGGCTGCAGCAGGAGAAATGCTTGAACCTGGGAGGCGGAGGTTGCAGTGAGCTGAGATTGCTCCACTGCACTCCCTCTTGGGCAACAGAGCCAGACTCTGCTCCCCCTGGCCACCAAAAAAAGAAAATAAAAGAGAAAGAGAAAGAATAAAAGCAGGTCAGCAAATTTTTACCAAATTACTCACTGCCACTCACTCTATACAGAATATTCTACTTCAGTCTAAATGGATACGTTAGAATCAAATCACTTATGAACATAGAAAGCTGATCAATGTTGACATCTCTACACTCTTTCTTCCTACTCAGTTTAGAATCATCCCTATTCCCTGACTTTTCAATGTTCAAATTCATTTTTTTTTTTTTTTTTTGAGATGGAGTCTAGCTCTGTTGCTCAGGCTAGAGTACAGTGACACTATCTTGGTTAACTGCAACTTCTGCCTTCCAGGTTCAAGCGATTCTCCTGCCTCAGCCTCCCTAGTAGCTGAGATTATAGGTGCCTACCACCATGTCCAGCTAATCAGTAGAGATGGGGTTTCATTGTGTTGGCCAGGCTGGTCTGGAACTCTTGACCTTGTGATCCACCTGCCTTGGCCTCCCAAAGTGCCGGATTACAAGCGTAAGCCAACGCACCCGACACCCCAAATTCATTCTAAAAACAAAAGCCATGTTGTTAGAAAAGAATACACACCTAGTATGAGTACTCTTCCAAGTGTTTAGGACTTTGCAAAATAAGATACTTATTAACAGATTTAAAGGGCCTCAGAGGTTAATTAATTAATTTAAACAATATTAGGTGCTCACTATGGGTCAAATACTAAGGCTAGGCCCCATGGATTGAAGATGAGTGAGACCAGAATTACTGCTCTCAAGTAATCTAATAGAGGGAGGAAGTTTGATCAATGTGTAGATTGTATAACAGAAATCTCCGTAGAGTATCTCTAGAATGGGGAAGAGCACGAATATTTGGTCTGAATATTAAATAGAGAAGTAGCTTATTTGGTAAAAGCATGCCAATAAGGTCATGACCTCTGCACATGACCCTGAAGCCCGATCTTTTCATTCTCTGTCACAGCCACAGTACCCAAGCCTCAAAAATATATTCTCAGTCAAGTCCAAGGGGCTTGAAAAAGATGGTGTGATGATATTATTGACAACCTGCCACCATTCCCAAAAAGATAAGTAGAAAAATATATTCATGTAGTAGGGACTCAAGAAGAAACATGAGAACACGAGTTTCTCTCTCTCTCTCTCTCTCTCTCTTTTTTTTTGGAGAAAGAGTTTCGCTCTTGTTGCGCAGGCTGGAGTGCAAAGGCATGATCTTGGCTCACCACAACCTCCGCCTCATGGGTTCAAGTGATTCTCCTGCCTCAGCCCCCCAAGTAGCTGGGATTACAGGCATGTGCCACCACGCCTGGCTAATTTTGTATTTTTGTACAGACGCGGTTTCTCCATGTTAGTCAGGCTGATCTCGAACTCCCGATCTCAGGTGATCCGCCCGCCTCTGCCTCCCAAAGTGCTGGGATTACACGTGTGAACCACCCGTCCAGCTAAGAAACATGAGTTTCTTTACCTTACTAGAATGGTAAAACGTGTGACTCTAATAGCTCCATGTCTCTGTTTCCTGAATTACCAAACAGAATTAATAAGTCTTGAACTTGTCTTTTTAATATCAATCTTATTAAAAAGATCATAGGAGGAAGTAGATAGTATTTTAAAAAATATAAAGTGCTGGCTAGGCATGGTAGCTCACGCCTGTAATTCCAGCACTTTGAGACCAGTCTGGTCAACACAGCAAGACCCCATCTTACATGGGAGGCTTACTTGAGGCCAGGAGTTTGAGACTAGTCTGGTCAACACAGCAAGATCCCATCTCTACAAAACAAAAAAAAGAAAAAAATAAACGAAACTAAAATAAAGTGCTATTGCTATACAGACCTGTATCAATAGTGGTATAAATATACATCTCTGAAAGATATTCTAAATGTTTTCTGGCTTTGGGAGGCCAAGGCAGGTAGACTATGTGAGTCCAGGAATTTGAGACCAGCCTGGGCAACAAGGTAAAACTCTATCTCTACCAAAAATACAAAAACTCAGCTGGGTGTGGTGGCGCATGCTTGTGGACCCAGCTACTCAGGAGGCTAACGTGGGATTGCTTAAGCCTGAAAAACAGAGGATGCAGTGAGCCATGATTGCACCACTACACTCCAACCTAGGTGACAGATAAAGACCCTATCTCAAAAAATAATTATTATTATTTTCTGCGATAAATCAACAGCTAGACTTTTTCTAGAAAGAATTTCAATTAGGGAAAGGGCTGCCTTGAAGAAGTCTACCATCAACTTCCAAGCTTGTTCAGGTTTTAGTTCCATATTTTTTTCTGACCTTCAGAAGGGACATATCTATCTAACTACACATTTCTTATGTTGTAGCTTATGTTATAGGTCCAAAAAGCCTACATACAATTAAACAAAAGAAGTATCCTAGAGCAATGAAAGGTTATAAATGTCCATATACAAAAAAACTGAAGAAAGTATGGTGAAAAAAATTAACAATAAGAGTTCAATATAAAGATGTCAGATATCACAACATCTTTGCATTGATGTTTCTTACCTTTCCACTCCTGGTTCTTTATTTTTATTGGTAGAACTATCTGAAGACTCCTCAAACTTGTCAGCAGAAAGGCCTTCTGGATTCTGGCTTATAGGATATTCACTACTTTTCTGTGAAGTTAATACTGCTTTAAATGGAATGAGAAAACAAATCTACTTTACTGCTTTGTCCTGATAGTGATAATTCAGGTTAGAATTCTGATTTTTTCAAAAGCATTAATCTATGATACACAAATTGGTTTTTAAACAAGTATATTAGGCAGAATTTTATAAACACAAGTAATGCAACAGACAGATGCTAGCACCAAATGAAACTCAGTGATTAAAACATAATAATGATAATAAAAGGAAAACTTTAAAACAGGGTAAATAAAGACACCTAGCTGAGACAAGACTGAAAAAAAATTTGTATTCCTTGGCCCTGAATTATATATATATACACGAATTTTTTATCTCTGTAGCAAAATATTTATGCCCAAATCCCGAGACAATAGGAAAGAAAGAGTACTAGAAAGCACAAAGTATATTCTTTTCTATATCCCCACTGCCTCCACATGAAAGACTGTGAGATGAGGTTTCAGCTTCTGCATGGTGGGGGCAAACAAGACAAGAGTGTCAGATGAGAAAGAAAAAACAGGTGACATTTTTACTTCACATTTTCAATTACTGGAAAAAAAAGAAAAACAAACAGATAAACCCCCAAACAAACACACACACACAAAACTCAAGGTGCTGGTTGATAAGAAATCCTAAGTAATACATGGAACTAAAGATGAAATGGCACAAGAAGGGAAAAAACACGAAATATACTGAAGGCAAAATTCTGGCGTGTTACTTCATTTTTTTTTGAGATGAATTCTCACTCTGTCACCCAACCTGGAGTGCAATGGTGCAATCTTGATTCACTGCAACCTCTGCCTCTCGGGTTCAAGCGATTCTCCTGCCTCAGCCTCCTTACTAGCTGGGATTACAGGTGCCCATTACCATGTCCAGCTAATTTTGCTTTGTATTTTTAGTAGAGATGGGGTTTCACCATGTTGGTCAGGCTGATCTCAAATTCCTGATTTGCTCGTTGCAACCTCTACCTCCAGGTTCAAGCGATTCTCCTGCTGTAGTCTCCCGAGAAGCTGAGATAATAGGTGCCTGCCACCACCCTAGGCTAATTTTTTTATGTTTATTTTTGTAGAGATGGGGTTTCACCATGTTGCAGGCTGGTCTTCAACTCCTGACCTCAGCTGATCCACCAGCCTTGGCCTCCCAAAGTGCTGGGATTATAGGCATGAGCCACCACACCTACCCTGGTCTCAAACTCTTGAGCTCAAGTGATCCTCCTGCCTTGGCCTCTCACAGTGCTGGGATGATAGGTGTGAGCCACCATGCCTGGCCAGGGCAGAAATATTTAATAAGTAAAAACAAATGGTTAAAGTTGCAAATGTCTTCTATTCATTAAAAAGTCCCTGATGACTGTAATTCATTTTGAGCTTTTATTAGATAAGCTAAAGGTCATAAATTTAGGTAGAAATTTGAAACAAAAGATTGTATTAATTAAACTGTTTTTTAAGACACTGGGTGGCTTAGAGGGAAATAATCATTGATTTCCTGGGTTAGTGTTCAAATGCATTATTTATAGTTTCCTTTATGCTTGCCTTTTCTGGACCTGTGAGTTTCTTGGATCGAAAGAACTCTGCCTGACCAGCTGTTGAAAGTAAGCAAGATCTATCTAACTACGAAGAGAGGTATCATCCTCCCCAACACCAATACAGTGTGATAATTGATAGAGTAATGTGCAGGTTTCAAGAAATCATAGCAAATGAAATTAACCATCGGAACAAGTTAAAAAAAAAAAGAAAAAAAAAAGTGGCCGGGCATGGTGGCTCACACCTGATATCCCAGCACTTTGGGAGGCTGAGTCGGGGGGGAGGATCACCTGAGGTCAGAAGTTTAAGACCAGCCTGGCCAACATGGTGAAACACTTTCTCTACTAAAAATACAAAAAATAGCTGGACATGGTGGTGGGCGCCTATAATCCTAGTCACTTCGGGGGATGAGGTGAGATATTTGCTTGTTTCAGGGAGGCAGAGGATGCAGTGACCCGAGATAGTGCCACTGCACTCCAGCCTGGGCAACAAAAGCGAAACTCTGTCTCAAAAACAAACAAACAAAAAACAGTGAAAGGCAGAGGGAAGGCTCAGATACAAACACAGCTTTTTTTTATTTGTTTTTTTTTTTTGAGACAGAGTCTCGGGCTGTTGCCAGGCTGGAGTGCAGTGGTGAGATCTTGGCTGACTGCAACCTCTGCCTCCCGGGTTAAAGCGATTCTCCTGCCTCAGCCTCCTGAGCAGGTGGGACTACAGGTGCCTGCCACCACGCCTGGCTATTTTTTTGAGACGGAGTTTCGCTCTTGTTACCCAGGCTGGAGTGCAATGGCGCATTCTCTGTTCACTGCAACCTCCGCCTCCTGGGTTCAAACGATTCTCCTGTCTCAGCCTCCCAAGTAGCTGGGATTACAGGCATGTGCCACCATGCCCAGCTAATTTTTTTTGTATTTAGTAGAGACGGGGTTTCACTATGTTAGCCAGGATGGTCTCGATCTCTTGACCTCGTGATCCACCCGCTTCGGCCTCCCAAAGTGCTGGGATTACAGGCATGAGCCACTGTGCCTGGCCCAATTTTTTTGTATTTTAGTAGACAGGGTTTCACCATGTTGGCCAGGATGGTCTTGATCTCTTTACCTCATTATCTGCCGCCTTGGCCTCCCTAAGTGCTAGGATTACAGGTGTGAGCCATCATACTGGGCCATATTTGCTTTTTGAATGACAGGAAATCCAGGAGAAAATAAAACAATGTGTCTAATATGAAGTAGCTTTATCTGCGGAAACAGGTACATACAATTTATAATGGGAAAGTAGACACATTTGTACCCAAATATTATGCAGGCTTGGGAAGTAACCTTAGATAATAGAATAAATCTATGCTGAAGGGTAGGACATTGATGTAAAGACTGTAAAGAAAAGGAGCTTTTATCATATTTATTAATACTGGATCTTAAAATATAAAAAATGAATGAAATCCAAGCAAATTCGAGTTTCGCTCATTAATAGCCATGAATGAATTCTTGGATTCTTAGTTTTGATAGAAGTACCATGGTAATGTCCGATAACATTAGGAAGAAACTAATGCAGGAATTCTCTATACCATAATTTCAACTTTTCATAAATCTATTAAAAAATAAAAAGTTTATTAAAAAAAAAAAGCAAGGTTGGGCAACATAACAAGACTCCATCTCTACCAAAAATAAACAAAATTAGCTAGATGTGGTGGTGCACACCTGTAGTACCAGTTACTCAGGAGGCTGAGGCAGGAGGACTTGAGCCTAGGAGTATTCCAGCCCAGAAAAGCCACGAGTATAGTAGAAGGTAAACAATAGTACAGTATCTTTTTTTTTAGACGGAGTCTCTCTATCACCTAGGCTGGAGTGCAGTGGCTTGATCTCAGCTCACTGTAACTTTCGCTTCCCAGGTTCAAGAGATTCTCCTGCCTCAGACTTCCAAGTAGCTGGGATTACAGGCATGTGAGACCATGCCCGGCTAATTTTTGTATTTTTAGTAGAGATCAGTTCTCACCATGTTGGTCAGGCTGGTCTGGAACTACTGACCTCGTGATCCACCCACCTTGGCCTCCCAAAGTGCTGGGATTACAGGAGCCACCACGCCCAGCCAACAATACTCTCTTTATTAGATGTTCTAACCAGGTGCCATGGCTTACATTTGCAACCCCAGCACTTTGGGAGTCTGAGGTGACAGGATTGCTTGAGTCCAGGAATTTGAGACCAACTTGGGAAACAGGGAGACCTTGTCTCCACAAAAAATTAAAAAAATTAGCTGGCTATGGTGGTGCATGCCTATAGTCCCAGCTACTTGGGAGGTTAAGGCAGGAGGATTGCTTGAGGAGGTTGAGGCTACAGTGAGCTGTGATTATGCTGCTGCCCTCCAGCTTGGGGAACAGAGCAAGACCCTGTCTAAAAATGTGAGGCTGAGGTGTGGGAGGACTGCTCAAAACCAGGAGTTGAAGATCAACCTAATTAACATCAAGTCTCTGTCTCTACTTAAAGAAATTAAAGAAAAAATTATTTTTAAAAAGTTCAGCCAGACAAAGTGTTCACGCCTGTAATTCCAGCATGTTGGGAGGCCGAGGAGGGTGGATCAAGAGGTCAAGAGATAGAGACCGACTTCTCTCTCCTGCTGCCTTGTGAAGAAGGTGCCTGCTTCCCCTTCACCTTCCACCACGACTGTATGGTTTCTGAGGCCTTCCTAGCCACGCAGAACTGACACACTTGACCCAAAGCCTGTCTTCAAGAATGTAAATGGAAAACTCACACAAGTGGGGAGTTTGTATGTATCGATTTATTTCTGCAGTTAAGGAGGTGAGGATGATGAAAATGAACAGATAAAGGAAGCTATGTAAGGTTTTCTTACTTCTTTGAGACCCCATGGATTTACTGAGAAAAACTTTGCATAGCAGCAAGAATGGGATTCAAAGGGACTGTGTACTGTAAAATTTAGGATTGAAAAGACATTTAGGGGGTGAGGATCCAAGATGGCCCATTAGAAGCAGCTCAGGATTGCAGCTCCCAGTGAAAGTGCAGAGGGTGAGTGGACGCCGCATTTCCAGATGGATTTTTATTGCCCACAGACCAGGAGATTCCCAGGTGGAAAAGCCCCACAGGTTGCCAGCACGGCTGGTTTGGCCAGCACAGCTGGTTTGGCCAGCACAGCTGCTTTGCCGGCACCCCGGGGCGGCAGTTCTCCGTACAAAATACATGGGTCCGGGCACCGTTTTAGCTGGCTGGTGGAGCTCCGGGAAGGCATAGTCGCTCATTCATCTGATTAAAATGGGGACTGAAACAGGGAGCCAGGCCAGGAGATTCCTGGGGAAAAAAACACCCCGAATCTCAGCGCTGCTGTTTCAGCCGGCAAAGTGGGTCGCCGCACAGGAAATCACACAGATCCCAGTGCCTTTTCAACAGGGGACTGGAACACCTGGGATAGAGTCGACCATTCAACTAAAAAAAAAGACTCTGAGGCAGAAAGCCAGGTGATCAGGCTCAGCTGGTCCCACCCCCACAAAA